TCACAGGAGAGGTATCAAGAAGAAGCAGCCATAAAATTAAGAACACTCCACTCAAGAATGGAAGGAATAAATCAGAAGACTAGATCAATGAAAGTTACTTTCTGCCACACTGAACTAGCATCGAGCACCGGATAGCTTTGGAAGGGAAAAAATCCCTATTAAAAAAAATAAAATCAAAAGAATACAGCACGGAAATAGTGGGCCTTCCCTTTGTAAGGGGTGCCAATTATTCACTAGGGCTGAAGAGGGACATATAGGGACAGACACTTCTGTATCCATACACCGTATGTGACCTCGGAGCAGGGAGACATGCCGTGAGGGACTGAGCAAGGCATAATTCCAATTGCCAAGGCAACAAGTCAGGCGGTGGCCTCAGCACTGCCGAGGGACAAGGGTTGGATTAATCCCAGCGGCTTCTCCCCAGGAACAGATGGGACTTGCTACTGATGACAAGGTTTTGCGCCAATGGCGAGGCCCTGCAGCCCATCTTTCTTTGAAAGCAGAAATCTTCTCAGTGAGGACCAGAGCCTCCATGGTACCATTTGAGGCTGTTTAATACAGCAGGGGTCTGCAGGGGTCTACTTGCTAGAAAATCAGTTCACCATGACAGTTTTAGGTCATTCAGTCTGTTGTCTTAGGGGGGTACGCTGTGAGAGATTTCAGACCCAGTAACACAAGTAATTGGCTTCCACTCCGTCAAACTCAGAAGCCCCTGATTAATCTGCAGTCTTATACAGTGGTGCCTCGCTAGACAGTTACCCTGCATGACAGTTTCTTCGCTAGACATTGACTTTTTGCGATCGCTATAGCGATTCGCAAAACAGTGATTGCTATGGGGGAATTTCGCTGGACAATGTTTGGTCCCTGATTTGCAAGCTGATTTTCGCTAGACGACAATTTTGACAGCTCCCTCCGCGCTCGCAAAACAGGTGTTATCGGGACCTAAGCTTCGCAAGACAGCTATTTAAAAAGCTGATCGGTGGTCCGCAAAGTGGCTTTCCTATGGATGATCGCTAGACAACGACGATTCTTCCCCATTGGAACGCATTAAACAGGTTTCAATGCATTCCAATGGGGAAATGCTTTTTGCTAGACAATGATTTCGCTAAACAGCGATTTCAATGGAACTGATTATCATCATCTAGCCAGGCACCACTGTACTTTTGTTTATCCTTAGTTCCGGTTATATCTGCTTTCGCTTCAAAGGGCTAAAGGCTGAATCCCTGGTTCTTCATTTCCCTATTTCATCTTTACAGCCATGTAAAGTAGATTAGGCTAAGAAACAAGAAAATACAGAGTATGTCCCCGGCCGAAAGTCAATGACGACATTTGATGGCTCAGAGAAGACCTGAACCTGACTTTCCCAGGTTTCCAGTCTGATCGTCCATGGACATTCGGTCATTCTGATGGCGATCACATTTGAACATAAGACCTTCTAATGAGCCATCATGGCCCACAGATCTCCTGCAGGGATGGGCGAAGCAGGGTCCGTCCCTCAGCTGTTGTTGGAAAATGCCACTCTTTATCCATCCTCACATTCAGAACTGGAGGACTGCACACTCAACAGCCAAGCGTCCCTTTTAAACTGGATATTAATTAGGCCCAGCCAGCAACACATCGATGGCAGCGATGGTGCTATACCAGCTGGTCTATCCTGAACCGAATGCTGATCCGTCCCATGAAGGTGTGTAAAACACAATAAAAATTAAACAAAGAACAGAAAAAATAAAAAAATAAAAAAACAAAATGTGGTGGCTGCTTAAGGCCTGTAATGTTCTTTTAATGTGAGCTTTTGCGGGCAACGTCCACTTCCTCAGACGTAAGAGAAAGAAATGGGCCATGGCAAATCTTTCTACATGGCATCAAAATAAGAGAGATTGTAGATGGTTGGTAAAAAAGTCAAGGGATACTTAACGTAGCTTATGTGATATTTTGATGCCATGTATAAATATTTGCCATGTTCTCTCTCTCTCTCACGTCTGACGAAGTGGACTTGTCCACCAAAGCTCACATTAAAATATAACAATTCGTCTTTAAGCTGCCACCAACTTCTTTTGCCCTTTTTAATTTGTTCTTTAATTTTAATTATGTTTTTACTTACAATACACAGACGAACACAGCCACCTTTTCTACATCTGCAATTAATGTGTGTGTGTGATAAGAGGAAATTATATACTTCATATTAATTTTATATCTCTGTCTGATTTTTCTCTTTAGCTAAAAACCGCTCCACTTTATTGATTGATTGATTGATTGATTGATTGATTGATTGATTGATTGATTGATTGATTGATTGATTGATTGATTGATTTGATTTGATTTATATCCCGCCCACCTGGTATATTTTACCACTTTAGTGATCGTCCTTTGTGTACGTCGAGAGACGACAAGACTCACTGGAAAAAAACGATAATGCTGGGAAGAGTTTGAGGCAGAAGGAAAAGAGGAAGACTGGAATACAAGATGGATGGCCTCAGTAAAGGAAGCCACTGCTTTGGGTTTGCAAGACCGGAGCAAGGCTCTTAAAGAAAAGGTTTTCCATAAGTCACTAAGTGAAAGTAAGCACATTTGGCTGTGTTCCCCCCCCAAAAAAATTAAATATACTCCCCCTTGCAAATACTGCAAACTTTTTTCAAAAGAGTGTTGCACTAACCTCTAACTGTACATAGTATTTGTTTTTTTAATGTTCACACCAAAAGAATCGTACCAGCAGGGTCACATAGAGAAGATTCCCCAAACGGCACTGCCAGACTGGAGAAATCAGAAGTTAAGGGTCGGCAAGCTAAATCAAAGCACTGCCGCCCTATAAGGAATCTAGTGATTCAGATAAAATCGCTGTCTAACAGAGTTTAAGAGGCTGTGGTTAGTAACGAATCTCAAGCCTAATTTGTTCCTCTCTCTACTGAATTGCAGGTCACTCTGCTAATTTCGACACGCAAACCTTTTCAAGCGTTAAGAACCGGCGAGCCTCTTTCAGAGGGAGAGAAGAAAAGGGCCGAAGCAAGATTGCAGCTGAATGTTGAGAAGACGAAAAATCGTGACCGCAGAAGCCGCACAACTTTTGACAAGGAAGAAGCTGAAAGAGAAATCGTGTAAGCATTGGTTCAAGCTTCGATCCAAATGGAGATTCCAGCCAAGAAAGCAAGAAAAGAACAAAAAAATTACACAGCTAGGGAGGAGAGTAACCAGGAAACTTGAAAAGATCATAAATTCTAAGGTGTGTCACTGGTGTTCATCCACACCCTTGCATTTCTGATCACCATGCAAAAGGCAGGCAGTAAAGTTGACAGGAGGAAAAAAAATTATGTTTGAAATGTGTTGGAGAAGAGCTTTCAGGGTACCCTGGCCTGCCAGATAGTCAACCCAAGGGGTCCTCAATCAAGCCTGAATGATCAGTGGAGTTGAAAGTAGCTGTCCTACTATGGGCACATCCGGAGAAGGTCGGATTCGCTGGAAAAAAGACAGTATTGTTGGAAAAGGTGGAAGATCGCAGGAAAAAAAGAGGAAGACTAAATACAAGATGGACCGACTCTCTAAAAGGAAGCCACGGAGCTGAGCAGAGCAGTTGAGGACGAGACATTTGGATTCTTGCCTTGAGCCAGGGATCGGATCGGATGGCCTTCCTTCCAGGTTTTCTCTTCTATGGTTCTGGAGAGGGCTCGTTCACAGGGTCACCCTGAGTCGGAGGCGGCCTGATAGCACGTAATGGCAAGGAAGTGAAGTTTGCCACTTTACTTGGGAGGCAAATTCGCAAGACGCCTGAACAGCTCCCCGTTTTCCCCCCAACTCTGGCTTCTGGAGAAAAGGGATCTCTTACTTTTATGGGTACAGCCTAGCAGTGCTTTGGGGAGTCGGATGTTACAGAAACACTTCTGTAAGCAAAGCAAGAGTGAGTTGCACAACCACCATCCTCAACAACTGGCAGAAAAGGAACGAAAAAGAGAGAGAGAGAGAGAGAGAGAGAAAGAAAGAAAGAAAGATCGGGACATAGAAAGGAAGGAGGGAAGGAAGAAAGAAATATTGGAACATAGAAAGAAAGAAAGAAAGAAAGATCGGGACATAGAAAGGAAGGAGGGAAGGAAGAAAGAAATATTGGAACATAGAAAGAAAGAAAGATCGGGACATAGAAAGGAAGGAGGGAAGGAAGAAAGAAATATTGGAACATAGAAAGAAAGAAAGATCGGGACATAGAAAGGAAGGAGGGAAGGAAGAAAGAAATATTGGAACATAGAAAGAAAGAAAGAAACAGAAAGAGGGATCAGACAAGAGAAACAGGACAGCGGCTTGTTTCCAAGCTATTACCTGCCGTGGCAATGCGGAGGCTGCCGGGGTGGCCTGCAGATCGCCAGATAGACTGCTACTCCTCCGTGGCATCTGGGTGGATCCCACAGAGATGCTTGGCCTTTCGACTCGGCGCGTCAAGCAAGTTCAGTACAGTATTTGTGTTTTTCTCTTTTAATTTTCCCCCTCCTTTTCCTCGTTACATTCCTTGCCAGGGCTGGTGGAGGGATGCCAAGCCAGCCGGCCTCCCTGTTGGCTCTCAAGCTTATGGGTGGAAAGGGAAAAAATGGGCCTCTTTTTTTTTCCTTTTTTTGCAGAAGCCACAAAACTGCGGCCAGAAATGGAATAAAGAAGAGTCTTTTAAGCTTGAAATAACACATTATTCCTCCCTTCCTGAAGGCCAGCCCTCCCACACATCTTTCCACCAATGGGTTGGCTTGCAGGGGTAAGGAGAGAGACAAGTAAGAGCACGTTATTTCCTTGAAAGTTTTTTGGCGGGTGGGTGGTAGGTAGGTAGTATATTTCAGCGGGGTTGCGAGAAGCTCCCGGTTTTATAAGCCCAAAGACAACGGCATCTAAAGCAGAACACGAGGTCAGTCTGCAAATTAAATGCATGTTCAGAAGACTCACCGGTCATTTCCAACCTTTTTTTTTTTAAATTAATCTGGGGGGGGGGAATGCAATCGGCAGAATCCCCAAAACAAAGATACTTTTTAAAAAAAGCCAATTACCGTATTTTTCGCTCCATAAGTGTCATTTCCAACCTTTTTTTAAAAAAAAATTAATCTGGGGGGGAATGCAATCGGCAGAATCCCAAAAACAAAGATACTTTTTAAAAAAAGGCCAATTACCATATTTTTCGCTCCATAAGACGCACCTTTCCATAAGACGCACCAATTTTTTAGGAGAAGAAAACAGGAAAATATAATCTGTTTTCTTCGCTCCATAAGACGCACAGACTTTCCACCCCCCTGTTTTGTGGGGGGAAAAGTGCGTCTTATGGTGCGAAAAATACGGTAATTCTCTCCACCCCAAACCTGGAGTCTCTGCAATAACGGTGATACACACTTTCAAACAATTCATCTTTCCTCTCTGACTATTTTTCTGCCAACAATTTTGGGTAAATTGAGGATTCTGTGGTTTCCCAGGAGCAAATTATGCCTTTTAAAAACCTCTTTAAAGTGAGATTGAACGGGGAGAAGCAGAAATGAAAATGTTTTTTCCCCCCACTGCAATGATAAATTCGGTCTACAAAAGCTCGTGCTAAAATGCAGCAGTTCATCCTTAAGGTGCCACATATTTGTCTTTTTAAAATGTTTTTGCCTTCTACGCTGGGGAAATGAAAACACTGGAGATTTTGGCAACCTGATATATTTCTCGTTTCCATCAACGGTGGAGCCATGCCATACGAGTCCAGTCACAACCGTTCTGGGTTCTATGCACAAACTAAGCCAGCGAGACCTTAGGGCATTAAATGATACGGCCTTTTAAAATAAAACAAGTCAGAATACATTGGTGGTGGAGGGTTTGGGGTATAGGACAGAGCCTCTTTAAACCCGACATAGCATTTCGGCATGAGTCTCCACCTCACAATCCAACTGAGGGTGTGTGTTTGTCTTGTGCTATCAAGTTGGAACCAACGTATTGCCAATCTTAACAGGTCTTTCAAGTTGAATGAGATATTTAAGGAGTGGTTTTACCGGTTCCACTCCCTCCCCCCAGTGATTTTCCATGGCTGAGTGGAGATTCGTCACTCCGTCCACTGCACCGCATGGGGAATCTAGTGCTACAGACAGGCTACAATAATTAGGAGCTGAAGTCAGACAGAAATGTGACTCGGCCGGCCAGCCGTTCGTGTCTGGGTAATCGTACTGGCAAACGAAGCCTGTGTTTTCTTCCCGATGACCCATTGCATCAAGAAGTTGGCTGGTGTAGAAATGATTGGGGGTATGAAACGCTCCTGCTGTGAGAATCGGACATCTTTTAGCATCACGGCGTCTTGTCTAATGTCATGTATTCTGTAAAGCAGAATTACGCCCTTGTTGTGGTTTAGTCGTTAAGTCGTGTCCGACTCTTCATGACCCCATGGACCAGAGCACGCCAGGCCCTCCTGTCTTCCACTGCCTCCCAGAGTTGGGTCAGTCATGTTGGTCGCTTCGATGACCCTGCCCAACCATCTCATCATCCTCTGTCGCCCCCTTCTCCTCTTGCCTTCACACTTTCCCAACATCAGCGTCTTTTCCAGGGAGTCTTCTCTTCTCCTGAGATGGCCAAAGTCTTGGAGCCTCAGCTTCAGGATCTGTCCTTCCAGGGAGCACTCAGGGGTGATTTCCTTTAGAATTGATAGGTTTGTTCTCCTTGCAGTCCAGTCTACTAAAAACAACAGCATTTTGGGGCCACAGAATTTATTCTCAAGAGCCTCCTCCAGCACCACTGTTCAAAAGCATCAATTCTTCGGCGGTCAGCCTTCTTTATGGTCCAGCAAGAGAATTTGGCCCTTAGCAAGTCTGAAAAATAGGACTGAGAACCTGTTTGTGGCTGTTAATTGTTCTGTGGGGGGTTTATTAAAAAAAAACAAAAACAGGTCGCTTGCAACACTTTGGGTGTAAGGAGCAAAAGGGGTGCCCATCACCACCCGTGTCCACTCCACACTACTGGGTGCACCTCCTAATGGACATCTACTGCAGCTGCCTGGCTCATCTCTAGAGCCAAAGTCCCCTGTCCTGACTTTAAAACAAAGTCATTGATTGGGAAGGAGCCCAGACTCTGAACTCTGCCAGCTCCTTCGAAGGAGGCGGCAGGAAGATGTGTTAGCAAACAGGGACACCAACAAAAGCTTCTCTATTGGCGATTGTTAGGATTTGAGTCAGCTGACTGGGGAGACGCACAAGAGGCACATTCTCCAGTAGACCGAAGAGGCTACGGAGTGATTTAAGGACACGATGGCCCCAAAGCGGCACCGAGCGACTGCATTCCAAACGCTGGGCTGAAGACCAACGGTAGAACGAGCCACGCCAAGAGGGGGAAAACGGTTCCAGAGCTGCTCTCATGAGAAAGCTCCTGGCTCATCGTTTTTTTTGCAAGCAAGATGCTGTGCGCAGCCACCGTCTAACCTATAGGCCCAAATCCTGTAGTTTAGTGTGTAGTGAATTCCAGTTGAGTAAACCCAATAAATGAATGGGGATTTAGCGAACCGGCTCCTCTGCATGTTGCATTGATTCAAACGAGCCTACTCGTAACTTCCAGCTGCGCTAAAGGAAGTCACAGTTAAGAGTCGGTCCATTTGAATCAATGGGATGTATGGAGGAATTAACTCATTCTAATAATGAGTCAATGCTGTTAATGGTGACCCTTTTCACTGTTTTCCAGGTAGAGAATACTCAGAGGTAGTTGACCATCCCCTTCTTCGGGGGGGGGCATCCAAGGACTTTCGCCGCTGGCCCAAGGCTACCCAGGCTGGCTCTACTTGCGGGGCGGGGGGGGGGGGGGGGGGAATCAAACTCCCAAATCTCAGGCTCTGCAGCCAGGGATCTAAACCGCTCAGCTATCCAGCCACCTTCAATGAGTCAATTCTACTAAACAAAACAACAGCATTTGGGGGCCACAGAATTTATTCAGATTACGTATTTATTTATTTTTGCAACCCCCCCCCACGTTTTTCCTTAAAAGAAGGACCCAAGACACGTCCATTTCCTGTTTCTAGTTATAGGGCAAGAGAGCAGGTAAGGTGTAGCAGACGGAGGAGTCACGAGTTCAAATCTTTGCTCAGGCCATGGTCACTTGCCAGGAAGTGATCACATTAAATCACATCAGGAACATCCTGGCTGCCTCAAACAACTCACAGTCTTCACTTAACAACTGTTAGGTGCGGCCAAGTTGCTTCCAGTGTAATGGGGATCACTCCACAGTGATGAAAAGCAAATAATTGTTTCCAATTCATCAGCAATTAAGAAAAACGTCCCTTTCCAAGAGTGAGTTGCTTTTTGCATGGGTCTTCGTCTAGTTTGGGAAAATTGATCTAAGAAAAATCACACACCTTGTTCCTCAGCAGGAAAGCGTAAGGCTTATCCTGTCTGCCCATCACACTTACCCACCCATAAAAGCGAAGAGGGGGTGGCACACCAGAACACAACAGCACAGAAGGCAAAATCCACAAAACCTTTTTCTTGCCCCGTCGAACCCAGGGAGGCTGTGGCTTGCACGGGAAAGTGTGTTTTTTCTGAGCCCCCAACCAACCAAGGGGAAAAACATAGGTCAGAAGAGGGTAAAACAGCTTCCCATAAAAGTATAAGAGACCAAGAATAAAGAGTTACAAATATCTTGCATTTTTATTAAGCCTATTGATGCGTTCCAACAAAATAAGAGTGAAGGTGCGTCATGTAATCAGGGTCCAGGGGTCAATTTTGTCTCTCTCTCAATCTCCTTCAAAGAGCATTGGAAATGTGCTTCCCGGATACCAGCCACCAGCATCTGGCCTTGCCTTTGACTGGAAATTTGGGAGCACACTGGTTTTTAAAACCCCTCATCTTTTACAGAGAAGCTGCATTGGGGCGGGAGGCCAAAAATGCAGCGTCTTGATCGGTCATCCGCTGGCGTCTTGAAAGCTGTACTTTCTAGGGCGCAAGTTCGGACCAAAAGCAAACTCCCCCTTTCTCCCAAGGCCAGCAACTTCCCCAAGGCCGAAACAGCTCAGAATCTCACTCCAAATAATTTCTTTTTGTGGAGTACACACACACACACACACAAAGATACAACGTTCAGAGAAAACAATAATGGTTCAAAGCAAAACGACAGATGAAAAGACTTGAGAGCCATTCGGCGCCGCCTATAGCGAGTCTAACGGTCATTCTGGTGGCCACCCAAAACATCACCAACTCCCAAAGACAAGCCACCCACGAGCCAGAACTCCCCACACACACACACACCCAAAAATCGAACACCATAAAATGGTGCACAACTAAACCTGACTTTCCCTATGAACCCTTTCTTGCCACTTAGCCAAAACTACTGATTTCCTTGAGAGTTCCTACTCTAGGGACAGAGGTTGTAGATTAGAGATGAACGTAGGACCATTTTAACGCTGCTGGTCTTCCATCATCCCCATCAGCTACACTGGCTAGGGACAGTGGAAGTGGTCACTCCACCTGCCGGATTCTAAGCTGACCAGGTGTCGCCAGGGTTTGCCGGCCATCCAGGTTTGACCCCCCGCCATTAGCACAAGGGCTGATGATGGAATCATCTTTCTTGAAGGGACTAAGCATATTCCTGCCTCTGTAATAACCACGCCCTGGCCAAACCCAAGTGGCCGAGCAACCCAACTTCTCTGGACAAATCTGCCACCGAATCCCAAGACATGGGGGAGACCGAGGAGAAATGAACACTTTTTGAATACAACCGGATTTGCTGCTTGCTTACTGTTTTTTTGGCCTATGTGGGAGCAAAAGAAAATGCTGGTAACCCAAATCTTTTCAATCTCTCTCTAGGAAATGATGGGTTTTGTTAGCTTCCACTGGATGACGATGGTCTGTTACCCTGACTTTGGACACAAGTTGCTAATTTATTTGTTACAGGATAAAAATTCTGCTTGTAATTCCCCCCCCCCCGACAGATTTGGTTGATAATTGGGCCAGATGCCTTTTATAGAGCTCCAATCTGCTTCTCAACACATTAAGATGCAAATAATTCCTGTAAAAAAACCTAACTCCCCCCCCCCATCAAGAAAGTGTCATCTTCCTTCAATGATGATCCTTATAACCCTTGCAAGGGGGGGGGGATTACTTTTTGACAAGTTTACCAATTCCCTAAAAAAGGAGGCAGAAATATTAAAGCTTACTTTTAAAACATCCAATTTGTATGGGCTATTTTCTTTTAAAAAAAGAGGCTTTCCTTTTTAAATTTCCTAAACCCACTTCACTTCTCCAGAACATGTTTCAAAAGAAAGAAAAAATAATATTACAGAAAGCATATATATAAGGTTTTTTAAATTACAGGCTACATCAAACAGAAACGACGATTGTCTCTCTCGTGCCGTGGAGGACGGTCCTCCCAAACGTCCATCAACGACGATCGTTCAGCTCCGTGTTTGAGCAGAAGTGGCTATCGGCAGTCTTTGCACACCATAGTCCATGCCCCGATCTGGACCTTACACGGATTCCCCCCCCCAACTCTGCCAAAGGGCATCTGCCTAACCCCGTGTTGCACAGAAGACAAAACATTCAGAATGGCACTCACGACACTCAGCCTCTTTCCAAGATATATATATATTTAAAAAGCTCGAATCTGCCAACATTTATTATGGCAAGGTAACTTCCCCGTTTGTAGTTTATCAGTTGCAAGAGACCTACACGCACACCCTGTTTCCTTTCTAAGAGAGCATTCTGTGTAAGACATTTTTTCCAATCTGCTCCCCACCCCACCTCCGGGGCTAAAACAGCTTAAACTTAAATCCACTCCTTTAGGATTCTCCTCCTTCCTCCTCCACGACTCCTCGCCTGGAGACTTTCGCTTTGTGGATAGGCAGATCTTTCTGGAGGGGGCACACCCTGGCTGGCGCGGGTTCTTCAGAACCTTCCTCTCCACACTGTTGGATCCGACGCTCTCCAAGCATCGTACCCCCATGTGGGTATAATCTCAGCCTTATTTTTAAAATAGGGCGATCCATACCTGTAAAACTTTTTTTGGGGGGGGGGAAGCGTGTGGTTTTGAGACACCAGAGCCTTTCCACCGCGGACAGCTTGACCCGTTTCTGAGAACATCGGGGGATGCCGTTTTGTAAAAGGACCGCGAGCCGCAGCAAGGAGAGGCAAACACAGAGATTCGCGGCGCAAAAGGGAAGCAGGCTCCGTTTAGCACCCCGCTGAAATGAAAGCAGAAAGGCGAGCCAATTCAGAAGCAATCAAGGGACGTACAGGCCAGTGCCAACTCCGCAGATCCCCTCTGCAGAAGACGGCAGCGCTGGAAGAGCAGCCGATCAGACCCGGCATTGGTGCCTGGAGTAAACTGGATGGGGGAAGGTCAAAAGGGCTCATTTTCGGAAAGGGAGCAAAATGCACTGAGTGGCAAATCAACCCTTTCCCCCTGACTGGAGGGGACTGGACGGGACTGAAATGTAAGACCTACTCTTCGTGGGAAAAAAAAAGGGGGGGGGAAATAAACCTCTCCAAGTATCATATCAGGGTGGCTAAAAACCAAGGCAGGTGAGAGGAATCAAAGAGGAAACGTCAGACCCCCCCCCGGGCCTGAGTGCTCAAGGCACTCAGGTGGATTGGGCCCCTTTTCAAGGCTGACCAACGTGTTCCCCACTTTTAAATCCTTTCCCGGGTGAACTTTTAATAAGACGTTGGCACTAACGAACAGAGGGCTGGAAGCAGAGCATGGGGAGAAGCCGTTCCAGAATGTTAGCTGGCCTTATTCGCCCTTTCTGGATGTTAAGTTGTAAAGGAATACTTGGGGGGGGAAGGAGTGCTCCTTTCTTATCCTGCAAGCTAGGTTTTTTTTAAAAATCCTCTCCAACGCATTTTGTGAAAGGCAAGCCTCCCTCATCTTCCTTCTAAACCATGAAAACTGCTTCAAACTCCCCCCCCAGGGCACATGTCCCTCTGTTTTCACGGTAAAGACTAAATCGAAATCAGCAGGTGGCAGGAAAAACGGAAGGATCAACAGGGAAGGGACGGCCTTTTTAAGACGCCGGAGGAGCTGTGCTAAGCCTATGAACAGTCACACAAAAATGACAATTTATGCAAAAAGAAAAGAGGATCCAAAATGAGGGTTTGGGGAGACAGAAAGAGAGATAGAAATAAGGCATGACAACAGAAGGGAAGTAGGGGAGAGATAATAATTTCCTTCCTTTTTTAAAACAGATAACTCTTCCTGCCCTTCTCCAGAAGGAAAAAGGAACAAATAAATAATGTTTCCGTACTGAAACACCTTATAAAAAGAGCCACGTCAGATGATTGCTCCTTGCCACCTTCGTATCTTTTCCCAACATCCGGAGATCCAGAAAATGTGCCCTCTACACTAGGAATTTAGAGAAGAGTTCAGCGAATGCATTAAAAAAAAAGGGGGGGGGGAACAAAAACCTCACACACACACACTAAAAAAGATGAAGATTATACGTCCACTTCCCCACCACCAGATTCCACAAGAGCCTCTTAACAGAAAATCTGGTTTTCTTGTCGCTTTCCTTTGGGCTCACCGGCTTTTTTGGATCCTCGTTCCTGTAGGGTGGATACGGTGCCAGACCACTCGACATTTTTTCTCCCCCCATTTCGTTTCAAGCGCAGACGTTAAAAAAACAAAACAAAACACACCTGCCTGCGGATTTCTGGAAAATGAGAGATCAAGCAAGCTTTTTTTTTTTGTATGTATGTAGATGAATGGCACCCCTTCCCACCGGCCAGCCTTGTCTGCCCCCTCATCGCAGCAGGGAGAAAGGAGATCGCCTCTCCTTGATGGTCTGGCTGAGATCCGTCTCTCTTCCCTGCCCGCAGACATCACCTGTCCTGGAACAGGGGAGATGAGGGCGGGGGGGGGTGCTTGTCCACACCTGCGCGTGCCTTTGGCAAACACGCCCCGGTGATTTGGTGTGTGGTTTTTTTTGGTGGGTTTTTGCTGTGGCGGCTGCTTCGTGTCCATCCATCGCCTGTGATTCGACGCCTTCCATTCCAACGCTGCGTGTCCCAAAGATGGGGAGACAAGAGCTTCAACCAACCCAGCGGCTTTTTCTCCCTCCTCAACCCATTTCCTTCCACTGCTTGTAGAAGTCCAGGACGTTTTTTATTTCAACGCTGGCACTGGCGGCGGCTTGGAGCGCCGACTGGGGAAAGAAGAGAGCAAGAATCTCAAGATTGAACAGGAGCTCCCATCATCCTCATCGCCCCATATCACAGATCTTTCTAACCCCAGTATTTAGTCTTCTGAAAGTAACTCAGCAATTTATTCCCAGGTAGGTACGGGATCTTTTGGATTTCTTGAACGGCAGCCTCCAAAATTTATCAGGAACTGTCCCGGCCAGAATTCTGGGAGCTGAAAAGGACAAAATCTAAGTCCGCAGAGGGGTTTTTCATGACCCATGTGAGCTTCCGTAAGACTCAAGGAGGAGAAAACAGCTGGGAATGGCTCAGCTCCAAGGGCGCTATAAGGGACTATGGGCTGGCAGTTTTTTGAGATACACCTTTTGTAGAGTCTAATGCGCAGAGAGACTACCAGGCCCCTAATCCCCTGCCTGGTACATGGACCTTTTTGTTGTTGTTTAGTCGTTTAGTCGTGTCCGACTCTTCGTGACCCCCATGGACCACAGCACGCCAGGCCCTCTTGTCTTCCATGTCCTCCCGGAGTCGGGTCAAATTCATGTTGGTCGCTTCAATGACATCTGGACCTTAGCCACTCACAACCATTTTCTGGAGTGTAAATGGTCATCGCTGAGAAGTGCCACCAAGGCCTGCGTGCATGTGACCAAAAAGAACCCCTCTTCGGACTTGGATTTCTTGCTGGCAGTTCCAAGCATTCTGGCTGGGGTAATTCCTAGAGCATTCTGGGGGTTGCAGTGAAAGAAATGTGAATCCCAGGAAGCATGATCCACCCCTCTGTCTCCCACACCATTGCAATATCAGCAGAAATTGAGATTTCTTTCTTAACAAATAGCATGCTAGGCCTCCCAATTGAGTACAGTGGCGCATCGCTTAACGATCGCCTCGTTAAACGACGAAGCTGCTTTATCATGAAGTTCTGCGATCACAAAAGTGATCGCAAAACGATGTTCCTATGGGGAAATTTCACTTAACAATGATCGGTCCCCTGCTTCGGGAACCGATTTTTCGCTAAACGATTCAGAAACAGCTGATTGGCAGTTCTAAAATGGCCGCCCGCTGTGCAAAATGGCTCCCCGCTGTGTTTTCAGGACGGATTCCCCGCTTTACAGGCAGCAAAAATGGCCGCCCCATGGAGGATCTTCGCTGGACAGTGAGTTTTCAGCCCATTGGAATGCATTGAACCGGTTTCAATGCATTTCAATGGGCTTTTTTGTTTCGCCAGACAATGTTTTCATAAGACAGCAATTTTCGCGGAATGAATTAAATCGTCTTGAGAGGCACCACTGTATCAAGTTCTTCCCTCTATCACTTAACGTACATCTTTGGGCAACGAGGTATAGTTTGTGAGGTGCAACGCAACTTACAAACACATTTAAAAACAGATGCAAGAATAATACAATAATTTGCAGTGTTAAAACAATATTAAATGAATTGTTAAATTGAAACAAATTTAAGCTAATAGCTTAAAACTATTTAACGACAGAGAATAGTGACATTCCTCCACCAGGATAAAAGAAGGAAGGAGTTAAAAGTGTTAAAACAATATTAAATGAATTGTTAAATTGAAACAAATGCATAGCTAATAGCTTTAAACTTTTTAACGGCACAGAATAGTGACATTCCTCCACCAGGATAAAAGAAGGAAGGAGTTAAACACTTCACTCCAGCTAACTCATTTTTACCAAGCATGAACAACAGGTTAATTTAGTTACCTCCTGTTGAATCATCACAAGATCCAAATTAGAGATGGACACAAACTGGGAAAACATCCGTTTGGGATGGTTCATCGTTTGTTGCTGTTCACAAACGACAAACCACAAACTTTCTGCCAAAATGAATCGTTTCGATGGTTCATGCGATTCGGGACTTCTGGGAGCAGCAGAATGGCCACCCCACCGTGTGATTTAGAGATGCCAAAATTGTGTCTGGCTAAAGAGCACTTTCCTGGGGGGGGGGACACCTGTTTTTGAGTGAGGCTGTAACTTGGACCTTGCAAATCCATTCTTTGCCAAACTTGGGCCGACTTTGGTGCGGACTCTCCTCCCCACCCTTGCCAAGTTTGGCAAATCTTGCATTTGAGACGTACGAGTTACAGCCCAGACATAAACTGCTAATGCGGATAAAAGTTCGGTGTTTCATTTCATTCCGGGCAGGCGTGGTCCACGCCCACAAAGCACCCCAATACGCACCACGGAATGGCCCCAATCATGAAGTTTTTAATTTTTCTTTTACTTGGTGGTTTGCTTCGTGCCCCTCTCTCGTCCGAAGCAAAGAAAGACAGCTCGGATACGGTCAGAAACACCCCCAACCCATTCTGTTGCTTCAGATACTCACCTGCATCGGTGCAGAAAGTTTGCCGGGGTCATCCAGCTGAAAACCGGTGATAATAGTCACCATCCCCGACGTATCGTCTTCGGTACCTCCCTGAGAGGCTGTCAGCTGTTTGCAGCTGTCCAGGATCTTATAGAGGTTCCTATTGAGGCGATTCGTTTATTAGAGCGCAGCAAAGACCACAGACAGCAAAACCGGGTGGCGTACAAATATAGTTAAGTAAAATAATTAAGGCAATAACTACTCCAAACATTGTGACCCAGATCAATGGGACAATCCTGCACTTGTTGTTTAGTCATTAAGTCGTGTCCGACTCTTCGTGACCCCCGTGGACCAGAGCACGCCAGGCCCTCCCGTCTTCCACTGCCTCCGGAAGTTGTGTCAAATTCATGTTGGGAGCTTAGGTGACCCTGTCCAACCGTCTCATCCTCTGTCGTCCCCTTTTCTTCTTGCCTTCACACTTTCCCAACATCAAGGTCTTTTCCAGGGAGTCTTCTCTTCTCATGAGATGGCCAAAGGATTGGAGCCTCAGCTTCAGGATCTGTCCTTCCAGGGAGCACTCAGGGTTGATTTCCTTCAGAACGGGTAGGTTTGTTCCCTGCACAGGACCAGCTAATTTTAAAATGACTTGGGTCTATGGTCTGTGCTGGTGCTGCGCCTCCACAGGAAGGTCATCCCACAACAAGGATGATCAAGGTCCTCTCTCTTGCCCTAAGCCTGCCATGGATGTTACTGAGTCCTGCTGTCCTGAACACACTTAAAGAGAGGGACCCACTGGCCTTGCCCCTCTGGTGTCGTCTTGAGTCTCAGAATCAACCAGGACTCCGAAGATCATCTTCCGCGAAACTGACAAAATAGGAATCTAACTGAAAATATTAAAAGAAAAATCCCAGAAATACATATTTTTGCGATGTAGTTATCCAAAATCTCTGCTAGAGGGAGCCAGAAACCATGCTATGTATAGGGTTCACTCTTATCCACGGGTTTTCGATAACGGGGGGTGGGTGGGTTGGAACCGATCCTCCGTGGAAAAAAAGGGTTCTACTGTAGTATTGTGGTGCTGGAGGAGACTCTTGAGAGTCCCCTGGACTGCAAGGAGATCAAACCTCTCCGTTCTGAAGGAAATCAATCCTGAGTGCTCGCTGGAAGGACAGATCCTGAAGCTGAGGCTCCAATCCTTTGGCCATCTGATGAGAAGAGAAGAGACCCTGGAAAAGACCCTGATGTTGGGAAAGAGTGAAGGCAAGAGGAGAAGGGGACGACAGAGGATGCGATAGTTGGACAGGGTCACGGAAGCTGCCAACATGAATCTGACCCAACTCCAGGAGGCCGTGGAAGACAGGAGGGCCTGGCGTGCTCTGGTCCATGGGGTCACGAAGAGTTGGACTAAACTAAACAAAAACAACAACTGTAGTTCAAATGTCTGCCACATTCTGCCATGGCTGGGGTTTCCAGATCGTTTTCAAAAGTAGCTCAATGGATAATGCATAACACCTCACTTAAACAACCGGAACTAAGGGAAGCTGTGAAATTGTATCCTGAAAGGCTTTCAAAATGAGACCGGAGGCTTTTCTCAGGAAAGCGTAAAATATAACAGAGAGAGCTGTCTCTCTACAATTGGATACACACACTGCAGAAAGCCCACAACATTTACGGCATTCCACTGAAATCAGCATGCGGACATGCAGTTTTTTCCTCTCCTTTTTTCCCCCTTTTCTCTAGTGGCAGGTCCTTTTCTAAAGTCTCTCCTTCTTTCTGCGAAAGGTGGGCTTGGATGAGCGCTGGCAGTGCACTATGAAATCGAAGATGCAGCGCATATGGAAACACAAAAAGTCAAGGAGAAGGGAGGGTATTCTGAATCCTGCCCTCTTTAATCATGGGGAAAAAGCAGAGGTTGGTATTTTAAGAGTTTATTTCCCCACTATGACCGGAAGATTCAAGGAGTCTAGCTCCCCCCCAAAAAATAACATTACAAACTTTGGCGAAAAGTTATGTAAATGAAATAAATACAAAATGTTGCTAAAGGCTCGTACAGAAATGAGCCGCGTTACTCACCAAGCATCTAAATCTTGCCTCTTCAGCTTATGTCTCTCAAAACTTTTCCCGGCTTCTTTCTGGCAACGGATGTATCTGGAGATGGAAGATCAGACTCACTGAGGCCAGGGAAGGTAAAGGAATAAAATCCAAAGGCCTGCAGCTGCCCAAGGATTTTGAAAGCTGTTTTTGCATCCCTCATCTCAGAGGGAGCTGGTGGAGGAACACTTTTCTTTCACAGAGAGATGCTCAAGCAGGGAAGAGCAAAGTACGCCCTCACGCATAACCTGGGTGCTTTTTGACATCCGTAGGGTATCTCCCTCGCCACTATTGCAGAAATAAAATGCCACTTTCTAGCCCCGAAAGACTCCAGCAGTGCTGACTGCTCATTTTGAAACTGGCACCTACTTGGTCTTGGGAATGCATGCTCAGAACCGAGCTTGAAGCTGCCCTCTGCCAACTTAAGAAAAAGGCCAAGGCCAAACAAGGAATATAAAGCCCAATTCTTCAAACTACCGCAGATTAAAAGTTATGTCTACATGCAAGGGCCAGGCTGCGTATGGGATGACAGGCGGCACGTGGAACTCAAGAGCTGAAGGGACCCCCGTCTGTACCCACGTACAGTGGTGCCTTGCTAGACGATGATAATCTGTTCCACTGAAATCGCTGTTTAGCGAAATCATCATTTAGCAAAAAGCATTTCCCCATTGGAATGCATTGAAACCTGTTTAATGCATTCCAATGGGGAAGAATTGTCATCATCTAGTGAAGATCGGCCATAGGAAAGCCGCTTTACGATCCACCGATCAACTGTTTAAATCGCTATCTTGCAAAGCTTAGGTCCCGAAACACAACCGTTTTGCGTGTGCGGAGGGAGCTGTCGAAATCGTTGTCTAGAGAAAATCAGTTTGCGAAGCAAGGACCAAACATTGTCCAGCGAAATTCCCCCATAGGAATCACTGTTTTGCGAATTGCTACAGCAATTGCAAAAAGTCAATGTCTAGCGAAAAAACTGTCATGCGGGGTAACTGTCTAGCGAGGCACCACTGTAATTTACAATTAACGTTCTTTTTTCTTTTTATCTTTTCTTATTTGGTGTATGTGCGGGAGAGGGAGACCAAGGTTTTTTGGCTCTAAAATTCCCTTTGAGGCATGGAAGGCAATTATATTAGAGACCTTTGAGTAGTGTGGGCGGCATAGAACTTAAATAAATAAAATAAACATTGTGCCATGTTCTGAGCCCCTGTGGACACTCCCTTCTGCTAAAAACAAACTTTTAATTTAAAAGAAAATATATACTGGCTACTAAAGGCCACAAAGGAGTCTTTTCAGTTAGAAACTTTTTTTAAAAAAGGAGGGGTTATGGATACTTCCCTCCAACTGCAAAGAAAGGGTTGTGTGCAAATCCTGGACATCTGGTGACTGCCACCCAGTTCCACGTCTATAAACTCAAAGTGGAGGTCCCACAACTGTACGAGAATCTCCTGCAAGAACTAAAAGCCCATGGATTCTAAAGAGTTTTACAAATACTCCCAAGCTTTTTCATTATTGATTTCTTATCTGATGCTGTTTAAGATGAACTACCTAATAAGACCTAGAAATATGCCACATTTAAATTCACCTGGTCGAATTTGACCCATCTACAACAAGTTAAAAACTGACACACACACACACACACACACCATTTTCTCTTCTTTTACAACAAGCATAGAATAAATTTCTATCAAATTGGTGCAAAAACAAATGTCCTTGATTAAAAGCTTGTCAAGAGGGATTATACCCCCTTAAACTGTATAACATGAAGCATTAGCAAAGTTACATTAGACAGTCTTCATTAGAGGTAGTTAGTGTCTGGAATGACTCTTATTGCATTTCATTAATTGCTGGGAGTCAACAATTAGCCCCTCTTCCACTTAATCATCAATCTGAATACATGCTCTGGAGAATCTGAAAGCTTATTCACTTCTTTGGGACACGCTATGCCTCTACTCAAGGGACGCGGTGGCGCTGCGGGTTAAACCGCAGAAGCCTCTGTGCTGCAAGGTCAGAAGACCAAGCAGTCGTAAGATCGAATCCACACGACGGACGGAGCCCCCATCGCTTGTCCCAGCTCCTGCCAACCTAGCCGTTCGAAAGCATGTAAAAAATGCGAGTAGAAAAATAGGTACCACCTTGATGGAAAGGTAAATGGCATTCCGTGTCTAGTCACGCTGGCCACGTGACCACAGAGGATTTGTCTGCGGACAAAACGCTAGCTCTATGGGTTGGAAACGGAGATGAGCACAGTGCCCTAGAGTCGGACACAACTGGACGAATTGTCAACCTTTACCTTTACCTAGGCGCTCTACATTAAAGATCCTGTGCAATTGTTTGGACCCAACTTTCTAAAGTACCCTGGGGTACCAAGAGAGATGACTCCTCAAACCTTTGGTCTCTCCGGCTATATATTTTATTTATTTAATATAATTATATGCCACCCACACTAGCCAAAGGTCTCTGGGTGGCTCAGGACATTCATCCTGATGCAGCGTTCATTATCTGCCGCCTGACATTTACCGGAGCTTTTTAAAAGTGAGGGTTTTTTGGGGGGGTGAACCAGGGCCCCAGACGGCTCGTCTTGTTTGTGGCACAACAGTTTCAGAAAACTAAAGCATCCCACGAAATTTCAGATGCACCATCAGGCCACAAATCTGCGTTTCTGGTTCAAAACCCAGTACCTATGTGCACACCTGTCTTACAAAGTGGGAAGTAAATGCAACGCTTTGCACGTCTGTGTGTGCGTCTCTCTCTCTCTCTCTCAGTACAATATAATCTAAAACAAAACATCTAAAGGAAAACTTTTCGCCTGCGCTATTTTGCTCTGACATGACATGTAAGATGCACCCTTTCATTCCAGAAGACTTCTAAGTGGGGATAAGAAACACCAAACTTACCTGTTTCCCTTTTTAAATTCTGCCTCTAAATATCGGATACTGTCCCGAGCTCCTGCATTCTCTTTCTTCAGGAAATCTAAGCCATCAATTACTAATGGAGGGGGAGAAAAAGCCAGGAGTTACACATTTGCGGTAGCGGTCCCCATCCATGGTGATTCCAATCCCTTCTTCCCCAAACATCCCCACCAGGAGGTAAAAACCAGGACTGCTGATGGATGACGAAAAGAGCGCTCTACAGTCCGAATTTGACAAGGCACTGTGGCTGCACACCGGCCCATTTGGCTTTTGGTCCAGCCGGCCCTGGGAACGCAAGCCAACAGGTCTGCCTACCTGTCCGGGGAATGATAACAATGAATCTGCCACTGGCTGCCAGCTGCCGGATGGTTGAGAGATGCTGGCAAAGGGCCTGGGTATCTGGAACCAGGTAAGGGGACATCACGCACTGTGCTTTGGGCTGCTGAAGGCTTCCTTCCAGCTGTGACACCTCCAGCTTTTAAAAAAAGAAAGAACAGAGGAGGAGGACACGAGGTCTTTAAGGAAGATGCGCCGAGCAATTGTCTCGACGGCCTGCATCTCCCTCTTACAAAGCAGCTGCTCGCAAAGACAATTTGTTTCATTCAAGCATACAAGCCACCTTCCACCGAGTCAGGACAACCAAGCCATCTAGCAGTATATTATCTGCCCACTCCGATCCTACACCAGATGGGAACCTGCACCTCTCTTAATGAGGATTTTTTAGGAGTACTCCTAAACCATCACCTATGTTGGCTGAAGGTGATGGGAATTCGAGTTTGGCAACTATCTGAAGACAGACACGAGGTTCCCAAGCTATGGCAAGCTTAATGCAAAATAAGCACAACAATAATGATAGTAATAAGTAAAAGTCCAGGTTTGATCACCAGCCATTTCCAGGCAGTGAAAGAGGGGGGAAAATCCCTGCCTGAAACTCCTGAAGGCTATCACTTTAAACACAGAGTCTTGGACTTGATGAATCCACGGTCTAATTCTGTATTCGGATAGCTTCACAACACTGGCTTCAGCAACCTAGAATCTCTGGCAAGCTTTACGCCAGCATCTGCTGTTATGGGACAAGATACGCCATGCAGACGGTGCCTTGCAAGTTACGCCAGCCATCTCCCTCTGGCTACGTGGAGGTCTCCATGTTTCCCCCATCTGTCCCCCCCACCTTGCCCCCCCCACCTGCGCTATCATTCATACCTGCAGCCGAAGCTGGGCCATATCTCTCATAAGCCTGTTCCGGCGAGCTTCCTCCGCAGCCTAGGAAGAAGAAATTGCAGGGCAAATTAGGGTTGTTATGTCGAAAGTGGAGCAAGCTTATCGTATTTTTCCGTGTATAAGACACCCTCCCATTTTCTAACCCAAAATTAAGAAATCTAAGTGGGGCTTAGCAAGTGTAGGGGGAAAGGGATCAAAGCAATCCTGTGACTGAATGATTGTTTTCATCCCTTTCCCCCTTATACAACCATGGGATTGCTTTGATCCTTTCTCCCTACACTTGCTAAGCCCCATAGGACTTAGTAAGCAGAGGGGAAAGCAAGGATCAAAGCCATCCTGCAGCGATTTGATCCCTGTTTCCTTTTGCTAAGGCATAGCAAGTGGAGGGGAAAGCAGAGATCAAAGCCCTGCAGGATCAATTTGATCCCTGCTTTCCCCTCCACTTGTTTTTTCTCTCTTCAGCTTACTTCTGCGTATAAGACGAGCTGTTGGATGTACCAGTGTCTGTTTCACTGTTGCATGGTATGGACTGGGATCGGCTGAAAAGGGATCAGAAGCCACAGAAAAGAGAGCAAGGGACCCCATGTCTGGCTGAAAACATGTACCAGCCCTGCATCCCCCCACACCCACCTACACACCCTCTGCCCCAAAGCTCACCATGCGGAACTGCGCCTGGGCCTGCTGAAGCAAGCCGTCTTGTTCCGACTGGGCAATGCTGATGAAGATGCCAACCTCCGGATTGAACTGCAAGATGCTGCCTTGCAAGCGGGTAATGAAGTGACCAAAACTCCGGATGCAACAGATGCGAACCACGGACTGCAGAGAGAGAGAATAGGACGGGAGGTCACATTCAGGCAAAGGGGGGACGGGCGGGGGGGGGAAGAGAGAGAAGCATCGGGACAGATCCAAGCAAAGGGTGCCATGTGCTGTGGAGGTGGTGGTCTTGAACCAAAATAGAAGCAGGGCAAAGGGTGGGCAGAGAAACCTGGACCTCTCATTATAATCTGCAATTTGCCACTGGCTGGCTCGGGGGGGGGGGAAGCAGGGGACTGTAAAGTAAAAGAGGAATTTATTCAAGGATGCTCAGGATTTGCACTCGCACCTGCTCTTTCCTCCCCTTAAAGGGTGGCGAAATAATAAAGAACATCCACTTTACCTCTTCTTTGGTATCTTGTGTGTGAAGCACTGTGAACTTTTGAGAAAAACATTCCATTTTTTAAAAAAAACCACCCCCAAGCATTGTAAACACAAACCGTGTCACATTCTGGCAAACTGCCTTTTTTTTCACATCGGGGCAGGCAAACTCTTGTGGACCAACCTTCTGGGCCCCGAGATTTCCAGGGAAAACATTTAGACTCCGAAGGGACCAGACATTTTAACAACTTTCCTGGTCTAATCCCCATCTTTTTTTCCCCGCTAGAACAATGAGAATGGCTTTAGAACTGCTGAGTCCGGAGAAGCAGAGGAACAGAAATTTTCTCTCTCTGTCTCTCTCTTGGATCAAACGTTTACAGTTATTTGAAGATAGGGGCCCTTAAAATGGTCTGGCGGGGTGGAAACAATAGTTTCCCACGCTCGTGTACTGCTTTGTTGCTGTTTAGTCCTTTAGTCGTGTCCGACTCTTTGTGATCCCATGGACGAGAGCACGCCAGGCCCTCCTGTCTTCCACTGCCTCCCGGAGTTGGGTTGAATTCATGCTGGTCGTTTCTATGACACTGTCCAACCCTCTCGTCCTCTGTCGTCCCCTTCTCTTCCTCTTGCCTTCACACTTTCCCAACATCAGGGTCTTTTCCAGGTACTGCTTGCCTCCCCATAAACCAGTGGCTTTCCCGGCTATCTCAAAAGACAGACACACAATTTTGATGACCTCCCCCCTCTCACCTCCTCCACTTCCGTGAGGACCGGCCTGTCCTGCTCGAAGTTGAACTTCTTGTGAGCGTTCTTCAGCGGAGGGAGATTCCGGAGGGCCACATCTTCCGGCAGAAGCAAGCCGCCGTTCAGCTCCGGACGTTCGCACCCGGGAAGGAGGCTCTTCACCTCTTGGCACAGCGACAGCCCTGCAATGGCCACGGTGGGGACACGGGAGCACCTTAATGGATGTGGGCCACCGAGAAGCGCCCACGGTCATAATCTCTGCTTGTGCTTCTGGGGCCATGAACACACACACCCCTTCCTCGTCACCCACTCTGTTTCTCTCTGGCATGTCAAAGAGAAGCCCCTTCACGCTCCTGCAAGATCCAATCCCCCCCCCCCGGCTGTTTGTTCCAGACCACCAGCTCCTGCAGAAGGTCCCACGTGAATTCCCATACAGGGCTGGCAGGCCTCTCCCAAAAATCACCTGCTCATCCAAGCTAGAGGAATAGTTTGGCTCGAGATAAAGCAGTTTCTCATGTTCTTCTTCTATCTTTTGCAACCCAATCTTTTCCATGAGCCCTACAAGGGCCCTTTCGAGAAACCTCCCTCCTTAAGTTCAAGCGACACAACAGTTTAAGCCGGGGTGAGCGAGCCATCCACACCACTCTCCAAAAAATGTATTAAGAATTTGTTTTGAAAGCTTTGTGTTAGCTTAATGGAACAGGGGCTAGGGTGCAGGAGGATGTGCGGGCATCTTTAAGACACTTGTGTGTAGTGATCCCTGGACACGTGCAAAAGGTCAATGACCTCTCCCCAGCCACAAGGACCGGGGATCACTACACACAAAAGACCAGCTAATGACACCCATCAACCACAGTGACAGATAATCTCTCCTCCTTATCACAACAATGAGCCTCGTGGCGCAGTGGTTAAATCGATGTACTGCAGCTGAAACTGTGCTCACGACCTGGGGTTCAAATCCCAGGTAGCCGGCTCAAGGTTGACTCAGCCTTCCATCCTTCCGAGGTCGGTAAAATGAGTACCCAGCTTGCTGGGGGGGCAATGTGTAGCCTGTATAATTAAAATTGTAAACCGCCCGGAGAGTGCTTGTAGCGCTATGGGGCGGTATATAAGTCCAATAAATAAATAAATAAACAATACACCCACAATAAGACACACTAAACACCCATCTACAAAAAAAGACAAAAGCCCATCTCACAGCCATAAATACTCCACTCCCAAGCCAACTACACCAGAGCAGAGTTCTGTCCTCTGAAGATGCCCATGGCCACAGAGACTGGCGAAACGTTAGGAAGAACAACCTTCAGAACACGGCCAAAGAGCCCGAAAAACCCACAACCACCACCAACAGGTATGCTTCAGCTGCAAAGGTGGCTGGAGAGGAGGAAGCAACAAGAAGCAGGAATTTATCATCGCATTACCAGAGTCCTGCAGGTCTCCTGCTGAAGGAAGAAGGTTGAGAAGGACAGACAGCCTGTTCCACAAACTTTGAGAACTCTGCAGGGAGAAAACACCAAAAAACAAATGAAAGCGGAGTATAAACAGGAACTGGACTGGGAGAGCATCAAACAGAGGTTGAAATTGCCGGCTGGCCATGAAGTTCCCTAGAAAGCTTTGGACCAGTCATCAATACTTAACTTTGCTACGTAGCGCTATAAAGACAAAACAGAATAACCTCAGACTTGAAGGAGCTGATTTCTAACAGAGCACTGACACCAAAAGGAACAGGTGACACACACACAAAAACCTTGTGTATATATGCAACCCACAATAGACCTGACCGCACAGGTGAGGAATGATGGGAGCTGTAGTCCAACTGCCTCTAGTTTCCCAATCCTTACAGATTAACGATTATTTAACGATTTTTCCTATGGCGATTTTCATTTAAGGACAGCAATCCGTTCCCATTGGAGCGGATTATCCGGTTTTCAATGCATCTCTGTGGGAAAACGCGTTTCGCTTAGCGATGTTTTCCCATAGCGATGTATTTTTTGGCACCAATTAAAATCGCTAAGCGAGGCACCACTGTATATTTATTTGGACGGCAGATATGCCAAATATATGGACTTTTCCGATAGTCCATATATCTCGCATATCTACAGTTCAAACAGACATACCTTTCCCCACCTAATCGCTGCTTCCTCTTCCATCCTGGAAAGCCTCAGATGACATGCAAATAACTTTAAAAAAGCAAAATGAAACAAGCCGCTTCCCTTTAGCAGCGTTTGCAGACCAAAATAGGCAAAAGGCGACAGTTTCAGTGCATGAGTTTAAGGCTCACTCAAATGTTGGCTCGCAGTTCTCCATGAAACAGATCAAGAAACCCTATAGCACAATTTCTCAACACACAGACACAGACACACAGAGTCTCACCTGCGCGCACATAAGGATGAGGTCAGTGTTTGTTCTCAGCCAATCCAGGAACACCTTGACGGTAGGAAGCAACCCTTCAATGGTCAGGACCCCCAGTTTCTCCTGGAGAGTACGCTCATTCCTGCAAGATTTGCCACTGGAAACGCTTTCTTCTGACTCGGAAGCATCATCTTGGACAAAACCAGAACAGACGAACAACAATAAAAATAAAATTAAAAAAAGCTTGTTTAAGATCAAGAAATGAATCCAGCAAAGAACCTCCTTCAAGGCTGGAAGAGAAAAAAAAAAAAGGACATATGTTCTGCTATTTTCCTTCGAATTCTACCTGGGGCTGCCCTTGAAGACCTTTCAGAACCTACAGTGTGATGAAAGTCAAGCTAAGGTGGCTTCCTTCTTTTGTAGGAGTTCAGGGTTGACCTTCGGATGGGCCACCAGCTTCTCCTACTCAGTGGCTCTCAGATTTTACGTATTACACCTCACGAATCACTCTGTCAAGAAACCCAGTTCCCATCATGGCACAAACCAAGCTTTCTTTATTTTTCTGAGAACAAAATGTCGTATGGTTACAGGCAACACATAACAGCAGCAAATTTCACATGAAGCGAGCTTCGGTGATGTAAAATTTTTTTGCTGGGCCTTAAACACAAGCGAAAGCAACTTCTTTGCTAGCTCAATCCTATGGAGCATCATGTCTGTTGGTACGGTAACTAGAGATGGAAGAAAATTGGGATTCCACATACTTCCAGACACCTTGCCAATGCGTCAATGCGATGTACCTGGGGGAAAAAAAGGTCTAAATGGAAAGGTTTTGAAGCTTAGCTGGGCCTAGCTCCAGTCAAGCTTTCTGCAGAGAAAGAACACTTCCAGGAGGAAAGAGATGGAGCTTGGCTTAAGATAAACCCCCGAACCTGCCAATTTAGGGCCATCCTCCCAAGGGAATCTGTAATCCAGAAAAACAAAAACCCATCTCAGGGACTGAAGGATTATGGATCTGCACTGTTAAGACTGGTGTGCCTGTTCTTTGAGACACATGATTTGACCACAGTGACACATGCCTTAGTTACCGTATTTTTCACTCCATAAGACGCATCTTTCCATAAGACGCACCAATTTTTAGGAGAAGAAAACAGGAAAATATAATCTGTTTTCTTCGCTCCATAAGACGCAGACTTTCCACCCCCGTTTTGTGGGGGGAAAGTGCGTCTTATGGTGCGAAAAATACGGTACATCCCGCCTGGATTACTGCCGCATGCTCTACCTGGGGCTGCCCTTGAAGTCTGTTCAGAACCTACAGCTGGTTCACAAGGCAGCGGCCAGAGTACCGACGGATTGGGGCCAGTTACGGGAAGCATAGAACACCCCTGGTTCCACATCTGCACTGGCTTCCAGTCCGTTTCTGGGCATACTGGTCATTACCAGCGAAGCCCTCTATGGCTTTGGTCTAGGCTACCTGAAGGGCCGTTATCTCCCTATATGAGCCTTCTCAGTGTCTCACAATCTCAGAGGGGGCTCTCCCTCGGGACGTTAGGCTGGCCCCTTCCTTCCGCCCCCCCCCATCCTTTTGCAAACAGTGGAAGACCCACCCTCGAAGCAGGTTTTTAACCATCATAACAGAGTCTCTGAATGCAGGCTTTTAGGTGAGTTTTTACAGCTTAAACTATTTTGAATCATTCAATGTATTTTAATTATGATTATAGTAGAACTGTTTTTTAGTATATAATTTATTGTGTTTTTAATTCCATTTTTTTAAACACTGTGAGCCACCCTGGTTCCCCTTATCAGGAGAAAGGCAGCGTATGAAACGAACAAACAAATTCCTAGTAAATGCTCTGAAAGCGCTGCTAACCAGCAGCATTACTTCTGTTCTCTGGCCCACCGGTATACTGTTATGGGTCATCATGCTGGGACAGATTTACAGCAATTCTAATAGGGTTTTCAAAGCAAGTGAGATATTTAAGCAGTTTCTCCACTCCCAGTGAGTGTCCACAGTGGAGTAGGGATTCTGGGTCCGGTCTCTGGGTGCCTGTGTGAATTTCACTGTATGGGAAATACCATGTATATACTTACAATGACAATAAATTGATTTGATTCAAACCCAGATCTCCTGAGCCTGTCACATTCACTGCACCACACTGAGTATCCCGCTCAGTCCGTCACATTATTCACTGCACCACACTGAGTATCCCGCTCATGTACGAATGAATGAAAAAGCACTGTCCTAGGCAAATTAACTTTCTCAGGCTGGTAATAAGGAATCAGATTATTTTAGAAATTGACAATGCTTAAGTGTCTTGACTTTCTGCTCCCTTCTTCATCACTTCCAGGCCAGCATCAGCAGCTCACACGAGTTTTATACTCTACTGTAGGTTAACAGTGCCTTTGGAGACTTGAGACTTACAGACAAATGGTCAATTTCCAACACACACATACACACAAAAGCACGCTCTCTCACCTTGTACATGAGATTTATATTCTACTGTGGGTCAAATGCACCTTTTGGAGACTTGAGGCTTACAGACAAATGGTCAATTTCCAATACACACAAAAGCACGCTCTCTCACCTTGTTCAGGAACGCCGGACTTCTCCGCATCCCCATTGACGCAAGGCTTGTTGCTGGCGGCCTCTCTCTGCGCGGACGCTTCCCAGTTCGGCTTGAGGAGCACGTTGCTGAAGGTGGGGGCCAACCGGAAGCAACGCTTGGTCTGGAAGAGCTGGGTCGACATGGCTTGGAGGTTGCTGGCGATGCTGGCATCGCTGGTGCCTAAGGAGCCCGGCCCGTTGGCGACAGGCTCCGGAGCCTCCGTCTTGGCAACGCCGGGGCTTTTCAAGTCCACCGGCCGATCGCCGTCTCCTTCCGCCGGGTCTAGACCCTCCCTCACCCCGTTCTTTGCAGGCCGCCCGGGGCCTCCGCCCTCTGTCTCCGGCTCGTCCGCCAGGTCCTCCAAGTCCGAGCGGGACTCTTGGCTGTTCATGTCGGAGTCCGTCTCCACGTCGAAAGCGGCCTCGGCCTCTTCGTCGCTCTTCTCCGAACCGGTCTCGGAGCCGTCGCTTCCCTTGGTGGAATCCGGGCTGGAATCCGAGTCAAAGCCCTCGCTCAGGTCGCTCTCGTCCACCTTCTGGGCGTGCCGGCGGCGGCGCAGGCAAGAGAGGCGCGAATATTTCTTTCCCTTTTTGCTCTCGCTCTTTCTTTGCTCCTCGCTGGGTTGGCGAACGGCCGGGTCGGACTCTGCTTCCCTCTCAAGGGCGTTCAACGGTTCCCGGGCTTCTGGATCCTCTGTGAAGAAGAGCAAAAACATGTACAGTGGTGCCTCGACTCACAACCCTCCCGACTTACAAACATTTCAACTTACGAACAGCTCCGTTCGCAAATTTTTGCTTCAACTTATAAAAACAAACAAACAAACACGGGGAAAGGGGGAAATGGACTTTGGACTGCCTGGTACTTTAATTTAAAAATGTAAAAATTGGTCTAAAAAGTGCTTGGTTTGGTTTAAAGCTGCTTTGTTTAAAAGGTATTTGTTCCCTCCCTCCTTTCCTGCCCTTTTTTAAAACCTAAATCATCTTAGGTTAAAAAAAATGTCTCCCCTTAGTGGTAGAGGACGGATTAATCGGTTCTGCATTAGTTCCTATGGGAATTAATGCTTCGACTTACGAACGGCACCTCTACATACAAACAAAAAGACAGCCGGAATAGATTAATTGGTTTTCGATGTGTTCCTATGGGAAATGCTGATTCGACTTGCGAACTTTTCGACTTAACATCTTCTGGGACAGATTAAGTTCGTAAATTGAGACACCACTGTACCCCTGTAAACATCTTATATGCATTGCTGGTCCTCCTCAGGCTAGTTAAGCAAAGGACATTAATTCCAAATTCAAGCTGGCATTACCAGACCCAGCACTAATCCCTCAGAGGGAGGAGCAGAGCAGAATTCTTTGAGTTTAAACATCTTCAGGGGGAAAAAGCCAGTTTCGAGGGCACTTTATACAAAGCTGCCCTAAATAACCACAGGACGGGCTGGTAGGCTACTGATAAGACACCACGGAAGAGCAAAATTAGTACAAATGAACAACAACAAAAATCTACTTTGCTTAATTCAGACAAGTCACAAGAGTCCAACTTTTCTCGACAAGGAATGACTCTTGGAATAGTTATTCATTTAGGATAACACAGGATCCGGGATGCTTGAAAAGCAAAAAAATGTGAAGCATAGACCTCACTGATCAAACATGAGCAGTTTCTTCGCTTTTAATGCTTCTTACAGTCGCTCCTGAAAAAAAATGACGCATGTGGTTTTTAGTGCCTATAAAGCCCAACCTTTTGCTCCTGTAAAGTCAGGTGGCAAAGACGCTAAATGCAGCTATCGAAAGACCTGCTTTTTTAAAGGGCATCTGCTCTGCTCATTATCTTAGATGGGGTGCCTGCAATCCATCTGTATTAGATCGACAGCACTCAGCATCTTTAAGCACCCCCCCAAACAAAAAAGGCATTAAACATGACATAGTTTTGGCTGCAGTTTTGTAGTTTAACCACTGCGTCATGAGGCTCCTAGTTTAATTCAGTAATAGCAAAACACGGGTTCTCAAATAGGTAGACAAAATGAGATTCAAAATCTGATTCCAAAGGTGAGACTTTAGCATCTTTACTCAGAAGGCTATAGTATTTAGGAGCTCTTGGGCATAAAGTCCTACGTGAATGCTGGCCCTTTGCCAAAAAAAAAAGTGAGGATCGTCCTTAGAAGATGATGGCTGGCGTTCGTCTTAAGCACAAGCTCTGTACTGCTTTCCTAGTTACAAAAAGCAGAATTCAGCCCTAAAGGTTGGGGGGAAAACACACTAATCAGCAGGATGGCCAAATTTAGTGACTATCATAGGCAAGTCTCTGTTTTTTTACCTGTGCCGTCATCCTGAAATGCCGGAACGGAGCTTTCGCCATCTTCTAGCTCTGCCTGGAGGCGAATATTGACGTGGTTGATGAGGTGGGAGAAGAGAGCTAGGGTGAACGCAATGGCTGCGCTATACTGCTTAGAGCCTGGAGAGAGAGAGAGAGAGAGAGGAAGCAGACTGAGGGGCGTGAGTACAAATAGCAGCAAGGAGAACTGACCAAGGGAACTCAACAGGCCAGGGAGGAAAAGAGGGCCAACCGAAATGTGAAACCAACAGCATCATGGCACCTTACAAGAAAACAGATTTATTTCAGCCTGAACTTCCATGGGATTACAATTCACATACTCAAGATTTATTTTTGTCCTTTAAAAAAAATAGGTAAAGGTTCCCCTTGACATTGAGTCCAGTCATGTCTGACTCTAGGGGGTGGTGCTCATCCCCATCTCCGAGCCATAGAGCCAGCATTTGTTCATAGACAGTTTCCGTGGTCACGTGGCCAGCGCGACTAGACACGGAACGCCGTGACCTTTACCACCGAGGTGGTACCTATTTATCTACTCGCATTTTTACATGACTTCAAACGGGTAGGTTCACAGGAGCTGGGACAAAGCGATGGGAGCTCCCTCCGTTGTGTGGATTCGATCTTACGACGGCTGGTCTTCTGACCTTGCAGCCGAGAGGCTTCTGCCCACAAAAGAGGCACTCACCGCCTCTTAAGGTCATGGGTTCCACTGTCCTACCGCATTGGCTGTCTGCAGAGAGAACCTCTGCAATGAGTAAGTGAGAATCCAGAAATCTTGGATTTTTGGGGGCAGCTAAAACCCGAATTCTAGCAGGAGACTTTTCTGCTGAATGCTGGTGGTGGTAGTGAAAACATAAATCCCATGCCACATCACGAGTTCTTACGCATTGCAATTCCCCTTCTCTGACCCTCTAGAATCCTTTTTGCTTCTTGGGAGTCATGTTCCCAATAAAAATGATGCAGCCCTCCTCTCTAACCTGGTGGCCTCCCGATGTGCGGGACTATAGCTTCTGGATACCCCCAGACAGTTCGGAAAATTGCAACTCAACAGAGCAGGAGGCCGATGCATTGGTTGAGAAAAGTTGCCCTACGCAGTCCAGCCAACTGAGCGACATCGTTACCTGCCCTTTTGAGGCTGTGGACGCTCATCAGGCAGACGATGACCATCCGGAAGATGAGGAGATCTGGCAGAAAGGAGTATCCGCTTTCACACTCCTCTTCGTCATCATTGGCAGAGCTCATATTGGGGGACAAAGGCAAGTAGAACAGGCAGAGGTTGAAATCCTCCAGGACTGACTGGCAGAGACAGGTCAGCTCAGAGTCTGCAGAGCTGGGTACATTAGATGACAGGGAGACAACATCCAGAGAGAATTATTACACTGGAGTAAGGAAGCCCAGGTAAGTTGCAACAGGAATGGGGGGGGGTCTCCTCCCTGAAGTTACAGGTCCCCTACAGGATGGGCCCGCTCACCTGGAGCAGCGGTCTTGTGATCAAAGAAACAAGATTATGTTAAGATGCTCATGAACATCTGCAGAGGCTACTATTGAAGGAAAAGCCCACAGGAACTGAAATCCCTCATAGGTAAAGGTAAAGGTTCCCCTTGACAATTTGCCCAGTCATGTCCGACTCTAGGGCGCGATGCTCATCCCCATCTCCGAGCCCTAGAGTCAACGTTTTGTCCGAAGAAAGTTTCTGTGGTCATGTGGCCAGCACGACTAGACGCGGAACGCTGTTACCTTCCCACCGAGGTGGTACCTATTTATCTACTCGCATTTTTACATGCTTTTCAAATGGCTAGGTTGGCAGGAGCTGGGACAAGCGACGGGAGCTCCCTCCGTTGCGTGGATTCGATCTTACGACTGCTTGGTCTTCTGACCTTGCAGCCCAGAGGCTTCTGGGGTTTAACCCGCAGCGCCACCGCGTCCCTCATAAGGAGCTGCATTTAATCCAAGAACATAGCCCTCCCCACACTAAGGAACAGGTATTGAAAGTACTGTATTGAAATTTTATGAAAAGTTTGCTATTAAGTCACATTAGCCTTATAGGACCCGTAATAATGCTTCCAAGATAAGTCAGCTCTTTAAGGGACAATTTTACCATTTCTACCCACCCCACCGCCTGAGACCTTCCATGGCGGAGACAGGATTCAAGCCCACTCTCCAGAGTGTTACTCTACCACTCTGTTTACTCCATCACATTTACATTAGCCAAACAAGAACACTGTTGTGTTCCAACCTGTTTTGAGCAAGGCAGTTAAACAGTTCTGTCTCTTTTTAAAGGCCGACAGATCATTTTATGAACTAGCGTTGATTCTCCTCTGATAAAATGCCTGCTGTAATAAATGTGCTTGTCCTCAAGTGTTTCGTTTTGTTTTTTCAAAACACTGTGGGTTTTACTGCAAAAGGTTAACACGGCAGCCATCCCTTTAGAATTAATTTGCCTTAAAGTCACCTGCGAGGACGAACTCATCTCAAAATGCAGCAGAGGCACAAAGAAGAAGAAAATCAATGACGTGCTTTTGATTTTTTTAAAAAAGAACAACTATAGGAACTACCCCTTCTAGTAGGGAATAAACAATCTCCTTCAAAAATTGTGTTCTCCTTGAGAAGCCATTTAAATATCTTTTAGGATATTTTAATGTGAACTTGGGGTTAATTTTTTTTTTTAAAAAAAATAAGGAAATAAAACTGAGTCAGGACAGAACAGACTCACCTGCTCTTTGGCTGAAGCAGACTCTGCAGGTACATAAAACTCACCAGTAACCTTTTAATGTCTTTGCATCTAAGAATGAGGAAGAAAAGGTCAGTGTCAGCTTGTGGTAACACAAACATAAAAGCTGTAGCTTATTCCCTTTTCACCCCATCTTCCCTTGGGTTCCCTGAAACAGAACAAGGTTATGAAGCTCTCTCCAGACCAACGAACTGCTCATTCGGTGAATGTTAGTCACTGGTTCCCTCATGGCAACAGCCCCTCGGCGCTTAATTACACCAGAGACACCCTTTTCTGTTCTCAGCAGTTCTCCCATTTTGCAAAACCTAGTTTCCCGACGTTTCGGCTGCCTAAAGCAATTTTGTCAGAAACCTTGTTTTTTAAACTGATGCAACGGATTTGGCATCGTCTAGCCACGTGGGCTTCCTGCTTACCAAAGCGCCTAGCACCTTCAGGACACGACAATGAAAACCTCAAAACGGAGAGGTATCTTGAAGGCACAGACGGACAACCTGTGGCACTCCAGATTGTTACACTGAAGTACTCGTTAGGATTTGTCGCCTGCATAACTAAATTTTAAATGGCAAACCAGAGAGTTTTAAATGTTATAGGCCGATAAAGCCTTGCTTTTTTAATGGGATAGACGTTGTGACAGCTGCAGTCTAACAGCCTCTGAAAGAGCAGAAAACTGCCCGCTTCTGCTTTAACGTGGGGGATATTCCAGCCAAATCCAATCCCCCCCCCCGCCCCAACCCCTTGTCTACAACTGTTGGTGAAATGCTTCTGAACATTCCTTGGCAACAACTGAACAAACTACAGTGGTGCCTCGCTTGACGACGTTCCTTGGCAGCAACTGAACAAACTACAGTGGTGCCTTGATTGACGACGTTAATTCGTTCCAGCGAAATCGCTGTAGAGCGAAATCATTGTCAAGCGAAATTAAAAAACCCATTGAAACGCACTGAAAACCGTTCAATGCGTTCCAATGGGCTGAATACCTGCTCATCCAGCAAAGATCCTCCATATGGCAGCCATTTCTTGGTCCCTGTAATGCGAGGAATCCGTCCCTAACACGGAAGAATCCGTCCCTAACACATAGGAGAGCGATTTTCTTTAGCCAACAGCCATTTTGAAACCCGACGATCAGCTGTTTGCTGATCATCGTAAAGCGAAAAATCGGTTAGGGGAGCGATTTTCTTTAGCCGACGGCCATTTTGAAACCCAACGATCAGATGTTTGCTGATCATCGTAAAGCGAAAAATCGGTTCCCGAAGCAGGGAACTGATCATCGCTAAGCAAAGAAAACCCATCTAAACATCGTGAAGCAATCGCTAAAACTTCAACGTTAAGCGGATTTGTCGTAACGTTTATTTATTTATTTTATTTGTATCCCACCTATCTGGTCAATCGAGGACCACTCTAGCGGATTCGTCGTAGAGCGGGGTAATCGTCCAGCGGGGCACAACTGCAGTTCAAAATAAGCTCAGTTGCTTAAGCGACAAACTATCAGCTGATGATTTTTCCAAAATAAGCTCAGTTGCTCAAGCGACAAACTATCAGCTGATGATTTTTCAGCTTCAACCTTCAATACAAGTCTCTGAATGTGTCAAGTAAGGGGTGGACAGGTTTCAAGGTTTCTTAAATTCAGGACTGATGTGGTACGTTTGTTTTGTTTTGTTTTGTTTTTTTACCTTTTTTTACTCGGTGAGAGTTTCCTGGTTTCACATTTTTTCAGCTGGTGATACATTTTGCCAGCCTTCTCATACAAGCGTTTGAGATTTCCATAGGCACCTTCGAAGGAGACTTCTGACTGGATACTAAATGGACACAAAACAGAAAAAAAGAAAGAAAAGAAATCTTCTCAGTAAGAATTTCCATGTAAAGCAAAGTTTCAAAAGGGAGGGGGGTAGAGCTTAGAAGAGTTGAAGCCTATCCTCTGTGTGTGCAAATCAAGCAAACGGAACATGCATTTATACTTGCTCATTTTGCATAAGTCATTCTGTACTTCCTGAACACGCTAGCCAACTGAAATATTGCTGAACATCTGGATTGTTTCACATCTTAAATAGCAACGAATCCAGTTTTGGAGGAAGAGAGCTTTGTCAATCCTACCTGATGAGTATGCCTGTATAATCTTTAAACATTTTTTAAAAAACCAAACACCATTTGCAACGTAGTGGAACCATCACAGACCTGAAGCGTTAACTGTTCGGCCTTACATTAGCAAGGGTGCATTATTTGAAGAGATCAGTTTGTTGCTGAATTTTTTTTCCATTTGTATATCAGGAAACTGAAAAGCAGTGGCGTGAGGCTCGGAATCCGCCCTGAATCCGTGGGAAAACTCTCTTCGTTTTGGCAGACAGTGTTCTGCCTAGCAAGAAGATAGCAGTGAAACGGTCTCTTATCTCCTGAGAACAAGCCATCCCATCTCACGACCAAATTAGTACAGTGTTAATTAGAGAACGGCTTTCCAGTTGGACTGCCGGGAGGGGGCAAGGAACGCCATCTGCCTTCCTGATGTTTTGAAGGAGAATGAAACCTCCGCTGGCTGTAGACGTGGGAAGGATATGGAATTGGGAACTTTAATGTCTATATAAGGGGCTTACAAGTTACATAAACTGATTCTGGCTTACTTCAGATCAGGATGCTGTGTTCATCTGTGATCCTGCCACCATTACTTGAGGATGTAGTTGCTATAGGCTATTATGTTATACTCTATGATGACCGTTAATTATTAGTGAAGTTAACTCTTATTTTCTTCGTGTGGTCCTCAAATTTCCGCCAAACATGTCTCAAAATGCTTTTTAAATTATTTATCTAGTAACCCGATTTTGCCTTTTTGCGTTCCTTTAATCAATATAACAATATCTGCACCCAAGACCCTGTTATAGGTTTAGGGACATGTGGTAAAGGTAAAGGATCCCTTTGACAATTTGTCCAGTTGTGTCCAATTCTAGGGGGCGGTGCTCATCCCCGTTTCCAAGCCATAGAGCCAGCGTTTTGTCCGAAGACAATCTTCCGTGGTCACGTGGCCAGTGCGACTAGACACGGAACGCTGTGACCTTCCCACCGAGGTGGTACCTATTTATCTGCTCGCATTTACATGCTTTCGAACTGCAAGGTTGGCAAGGAGCTGGGACAAGCGACGGGAGCTCACTCTGTTGTGTGGATTCAATCTTATGATGGCTGGTCTTCTGACCTTGCAGCACAGAGGCTTCTGCGGTTTAACCCGCAGAGCCACCACGACCTGTGGTACCAAATCCAATCCTGACCCTTCAACTCCCTATTGTGAAAGCTCTGGAGTTAAGCGTGCGTGGTGACAACATTACCCTCCAGGGTCGTCATGCAAAACAAAGTGCACAGTTTTGTGGGTTATCAACTTCCGGGGAGGGGGGGAGGAGCACAGCTCAGTTATAATTATCAGGGGATAAAAGAGAGGGTGTAAGCAGGATGCCTGATGACTGTGATATTACACTACCTCCGTTCTTCATTCACTTGCAACTTGTAATATATACCGTATTTTTCGCACCATAAGATGCACTTTTCCCCCACAAAACAGGGGGGTGGAAACTCTGTGCGTCTTATGGAGCGAAGAAAACAGATTATATTTTCCCGTTTTCTTCTTCTAAAAAATTGGTGGGTCTTATGGAAAGGTGCGTCTTATGGAGTGAAAAATACGGTATATATAGGTCCTTTAAATTAACGCAAAGATTCTTAAGGGCCAAATTGGGAGCCTGAAATTGACTCAACCACTGCAATGACACGTACCCTTGCTAACCTTATTGTTCAGTTTTACCTGCTTTTCAAACCATGCAGGCCACGTATACAGGCCACACAAGAAGAACCAGCAGCCAGGCCCATCTGATTAAGCCACATCCCAACAATTTTTGCCCCAGCAGGTCTGCAAAGGGCAAGAAATCAATAAATACTACCCACACCGTGGAAACATTTTGCTGCCCCCAGGCAAAAGGCAGGCGGCTGACTATAAAAACACACGTTTCTTTCTAAGCAATCACGGGGAAGAGGTACTCACCAGCGCAAGTAGCAGTAAGTGGCTTCCACATTGTAATATTTACTCCCTGCTAATGTCCCGAGCTGATTAAAGGGCATACCTGTTACGAAAAGACAGCAGTGACTATAATTCTGCATTTCTCTGCGTTCCTGTCGCAAGGTATTCTGCACAGAACACTTTTCCACAAATCGTTTGCAAAGCACAATGCAAATGCCGAACCTGGGGAGATGCTCTTGTAGCCTTTCCCAGGAGGGAGGAAAAACTATTGAGCTATTTCACAGAAATGATCCAATCTTGAGATCTCTAAGAGCCGAAGCACCCATAAGGGCAAGCTGTAGTAGCCCCCACCCCAGAGGAAGTACAACTACACCTATTTGCATTTGAAAAGGAAGAATTTAGGGCCACCCCCCAACCTGACAGGCGTTCCTGGTTCCTGCCTTAAGTGTCTTAGCTGCTCTTTTGCAAGGGAGATCCCGAGAGGCAGCCCAAAAAAAGCCAGGCAGGATTTTAAAGAAAATTGTAAGGAGAGATACCAACAACATTTGACATGAGATCTAAAAAATCAGTAAAGCAAGCAGCAATGGATTCAAAGCAAAGAAAATGTCTGCTTTAAAAAGGAATGCGAGTTGCTGAATTTGGCAGTAGGGCTGGCCATTATTTTGCTTTGGCTCCAAAAGATGGGAAATAAAGATCTTACATTTATTTATAATATATTTTATTTATAAAAGTTCCCTGAATTTAGCAGGTGAGACAAAACGAACTCTGCTATGGGTGCCTTACTCTTGGCAGAGTACAGAATGGATGGCCTTCACCCGTTTGGTCATCCACACTGCAGAGGAAACGCCTGCGGTATAGGATAGAAAGGCTGCCTAGAGCAGGCTGGAGGAGCGGGTGACCAATCTTTTCTATGGCCCCTGAATCCAGGAAGGAGGAAAAGGAGAACACGCAGGTGGGAGACACCGCGATGCAGCCAATTTCCCCCCCTTCCCATTCATCAAAGACTCCAGGTAGAGCAAATTCTGACAAAAAGATCCAAGCCACGAGTACTTGCAGTTTTCTCATAGGGAAGAGCAAAAAGGCAGACAGGCATTGTTCCAATACAATGCACAAAGGTGCCTTGGCCCTTCAAGCAAATCTTCCCCCTTATCTGTGGGATCAGTATCTCCAGTTTCACTTATCCGTAGTCTGAAGATATTAAAAGAAAAGAACTAGAAATACATAATTTCATGATGTATTTCCCAGAATTGGTCACTAGACAGATCCAGAGACCATGCTATGTACAATACAGTGGTGCCTCGCTTGACAACGATCATGCATTTCATTAAAATCCCTGTTAAGCGAAATCGTTGTCAAGCAAAATTTAAAAAAACCATTGAAATGCACTGAAAACCATTCAATGCGTTCCAATGGGTGAAATACCTCATTGTGCAGCAAAGATCCTCCATAGGGCAGCCATTTTCTGGTGCCTGTATAGCGAGGAATTCGTCCTTAACACAGCAGGGAGCCATTTTGCACAGCGTGGAGCCATTCTGAAACCCGACGACCAGCTGTTTTTAGATCGTCGTAATGCGAAGAATCGGTTCCCGAAGCAGGGAACTGATCGTCATGAAGCAAATTTCCCCCATAGAAACATCGTTTTGCAATCGCAATAGCGATCACAAAAAAACCATCATAAAGCGGATTTGTTGTTTAACGAGGTAATCGTTAAGCGAGGCATCACTGTATTCTTGTTTAAGATTACACAGCAGGCTCTCTGGCTCCCTTTTGTGGCCAGGTCTGGTAATACATGGTGAAAATACTTTTTTCTGGATTTTTTTCTTTTACAATACCATGTATAGCATTCACTATTATCCACAGTTTTCAACATCCCCGTGGGAGCTTGGAACCAATCCCCCATTGATATGGGGTGGGGGACTCCTACTGTATCATACTAGACAGTGCAGGCTTGCTTTTAAGACAAAACTGGCCAAATAACCACTCACCCTCCCTGTCTCTGACAAAACAAGGAACAGCAGAGTAACAAATTCTTAAGCGCAGGCAGGCCAGCAAGCAATTTTGCGAGCTAGTAACACATGGACACACTTGCATGGTCAATACACATGTCCTCTGGGGACAATCCCAATAAATTTGGACTGAACGCTTACCAATCTGGGGTGCGACAGAAATGGCTTGATAGTAGAACCTCTCAGCCAGTAATTCTGTATCCACACCGGCTAATTCATTCTGATAGCGAGCTGATGAGGAACAAAGCATAACACAAAGGATTTAATGATCACCAGAAGGCAAAGGTGCAAAATAAACTCTGTCAGGACAAGGCCATAGCTCACTGGCATGAGTCTCACAAATGGTCCATGAAGCGGTGAGGCTTTATTTCACAAAGAGAATACGTTTAAAGAAATGTACAGTACAGTGGTGCCTCGCTTAACGAGTGCACCATTTAACAACGAATCCGCATAGCGCATTGCGATGTTTAGATAGGCAAAAACACGCATTGCGATGTTTTTACAACAGCTGATCGGCGGTTCCAAAATGGCCACCAAGTGCCCAAAATGGCCACCGCAAGTGTTTTCGCGCCCTGCCCTCACTTACCAAGGGCGCGAAAATGGCGGCGCTATGGAGGAACTTCGCAGAACGGTGAGTTTGGGCCCCATAGGAATGCATTAAACTAAGTTTAATGCGTTCCTATGGGGTTTTTCGATCCGTTTAGCGATGTTTTTGCATAGCGATGATTAATCCGGAACGGATTAACGTCGCTATGCGGGGCACCACTGTATTCTATTCAAGGCACAATAGCTAAACACATGATAAATGTTTCACAAATCCCTATGCAAGGCATGTTAATATTTCAGATACTCAGAGGATATCCCTACTTTCCAAAATTCTGCCATAAAATAAAACATTTCTAGAAATCTAAAGTTCCACCTGTTGGAGTATGGGCCACAGTCCACAAAAGTCCACTGATGCCACAAGTAAGACTGTTCTTAAAAGTGCCACGGGATCCTTGGTGGTTTTGCCAAGGTTTTGCAGTGGCGGTTCCACGCTCATGTCCCACGAGTATGGACCGGCCACTACAAAAATGCCTGCACCATCTGTCAAGAGATAATATGAGGAAGAATGAGGAGGGCTGTTGGCAAACTCATTTTGGCCCAGAGCCTGTGTCTCCTTCACATAAGAAAATCAGGGATTCACTGGCGTTTAGTGATTGAGTGCTCATCAGCCGCTAGCCCTCCTGTAACAGCAAGAACCGCAACTATGACCCCACAGCAGCTCTCACCTAAATCGCCCAGATAAACCAGGCACCGGTGGCAGGCCATCTGAGCCCACTCCATCTCCTTCTCCGATGCAGAGACGGGCTTCTTACAGCCTAAGAAGAGACAACCAAGAAAACAGTTTGGTTCTCTAAACCGATACGTTTGGGATGGTGTGATTTAAAAGCAATTCTTTCTCTTATTTATCAACACAAACAAATCATTGTCATCACATGTACACAACTATATTAGACAAATGTATATATATTTTTAAGATTAGTGTACGTTTTCCTGTTAGGGGAGGGCCGTCTATCTGAATTTCTCTGCTTCCCCCACCCTGTTTCCCTTGGCTGGTTAAGCTGTCCTAAATAGGCCGACTGGGTCCAGCATTTTGTTCACACAGAGGCGCATCAATTGCCTTCAAGATGCCCAGAACCAAGGAAAGCAAGCAGTGACATCTGGGCAAGAGAAGCACTACTCAGACTCTTACACAGATTTTACTCAAGAGAGAAAAAGCAGCAGTGTAGTCGCGGTACCCAGCGTGGGATAGTGGACAGGGTCATCGAAGTGACCAACAAGAATTTGACCCAACGCCGGGAGGCCGTGGAAGACAGGAGGGCCTGGCATGCTCTGGTTCATGAGGGTCACAAAGAGTCGGACACAACTAAACAACAATGGTAAAACCACTCCTTAAATGCCTCCCCTACCTTGAAAACGCTCTTAGAGTCACTATAAGTCGGTTCTGACTTGACGGCATGTGAAAACAATGTTCTTATAGCTACGAAAGAGCCATACTGCTGAAGCTTCCTTACCAGGCAGAAGTCATGCTGGGGAAGTCAGAGTCCTTCTTAATGCTAAGGGCCTGGATAAACCTATTAGCACAGGTTCAGAGCACAGATTCATGAAACGGGTGGCATGCATTTTGTACCTCTTGCCCACTTCACTTTTGCACCCAGACTATCGCCGGAAACAAGTTGGAACAAAATCAGAAATTCTCTTTAAGAGAGTCCTTGAAGTCTTTTCTCTCCTACACCACTTTTCCTTCATGGGGTGGTGGTGTTCAAAAATATTTATTCTAACTCTCCTACAACCGCCCCCCCCCCACGACATGTTACAGAGTAGCTCCAGGGAGATTTTAAAATGCAATTGTGTCAAAAGCAACAGAACTTTTTTGCATGCTTTGGAGGACACCGGAAGGACTTCATCCGCCTAATTCACACAGCAATGGTTGCAAAGATTTTACATCTTTGAGCACATTATTCTGGGAGATAGTCCTCGAGGTTCTCACCAGGCAGAACAAAATCATGTGTGCATAATAGGCCGGGGTGGGGGGAGGAAGCCACGGCTATTTGTCAGGAGAGTGCAGTGGGGACGGCTTCAAGGGGCCACTGAATCGGAGCCCAAGCCATTACAACGCCTTCTCAATTCCTACAACATCTGAACCTTTCTAACCAACATAATGCACAAAGACCTTGATTTGGCTTTCCCCACCAAACAAGGCTGATCTAACGACTGTCACCAAGGACAGCAGGGGGAAAAAAGGCTTGGTCATCGCATTCAAGCCCCAACGGGCGGGACAAAGAGAAGTGCTTCAAATGAAAAAGGCAATCAATTCGTTCGAAGGGGTTGCCCCGGCTTGTCTATATCTTCAGTTTAAAAAAAAGGAACCAATCTCTGCGTGGTGACGTGAAATCATCTGTGTGTGCCTGTTGCTTGTTGTTGCTGTAAGGCACTGGTTCTTAACCTTGGGTTACTCAGGAGTTTTGGACTGCAACTCCCAGAAGCCTTCACCACCAACTGTGCTGGCTGGGGTTTCTGGGAGTTGCAGTTCAAAAACATCCAAGTAACAAAGGTTAAGAACCACTGCTGTAAGGTGTTGTCAAGTCAGAACCGAAGGGACGGAGCAGGCAACAACTAACAGGTATTTCAAGGTAAATGAGGCATTCAGGAGCGGTTCTACCAGTTCTGCAGTCCCTCAGTGAGTTTCTGTGGCTGAGCACGGATTCGAACCCATGCCTCCTGGGCCCTAGTCTTTTTCTGTTTTTTACCATTTTTACATTCCCACTATACCGGACATATTATTCTTATACCAAAACCTAACACGCAGCTGGCTCTCATCGACACATTTCTAAATGCCATTCCTTGCTCAAATGCCTGCTCATGGGCTTCTTAAGGGTAACGGTGCCGGGGAGGGGGGGCGTGGAAATGTCAAAAACACAGGCCTCCTAAAAATCCTGATTAGTATAGCTCCCGAAAAAAAGGAAGGGGAGGAAGTTTAGATATTCAGCGTCTGCGGTATTGGAATGGGAGATTCAGATAAGTCAAGCAAGAGACAGTATAACGTTGGTCAGCACCGGAGTACCAACCTATTAACGGATCTGTAACGTGTGTCCAGTCAATACAACACTGTAGCTCCAGCTGATAGTGAGACTGGATGTAGAGAAGAAGATGCTGATAAAACCCGATGCCGGCGATGAGGTGAGTCCGGTACGCACACTCCAAAGTGCTACGGGTGTGAATGTGCTGTTAGAAGCAAAGAAGGAAACACGGAGTTAATACGACACTTACTCACAGGTTGCTTCTGCTTCACCTCCTCCCCCGCCTCCCAAGGCTAGCTAAAGTCATAAAACAACCTTCTCCTTTTTGAGGAACTCCTTGACAAAGCTTTGAATGTACATATGGAACCCTTAACGGTCATGACGTCCTGCGTCCCTAAAGTTAAGGTGACTTGGTGGCAACTTTGGGGTTAAAATGATTGTGGGAAAAATCAAGCACGGAACCGAAATCTCCCTCTAGGAAGGAGGGGAGGGCGCACCGGCTAGCCTGATCTTGCAAAAAAGCCATCGAAGTACATATTCCATGGATGGAAGTAGGTGGCAGCTACCGTCCCATCCTCTTTTGCTGGGAAAAAAGGCATGTTTTAACTCTCAGATAAATGGTTTTATGGTCCATACAAAGATGCTGGTCCTAAGGGAGTGAACAACCTCAGTTCCCATGGCTATGACTTTTTTAAAAGAAGTAAATTAGAAATGGACACTGCCCCCTCCCTGAACACTATCGGCCCATACGGAGATACGTATTCCCCCAACAAAGCCAAAATGATCAAGAGACATAAAATCAGCTTTACAGGCAACTAAGAGCTCCTCGTTCTGCCCAACAATCGCCACAGGACCCCCATGTTTAGACCTACGCATTGTCTGAAGACAGCACCTACCGCCAGCGTCAAGGCACCCTGTATTCAATCATGTCGCTTGACATTTTGTCAAAAACAACAGGTTAATTAATCGCTGGTTCTTACGCTGTCTCACCCAAAGGGTGAATCGGCATCTGGGATTTTCATTAGCCGTTATAGGTGCCATAGTTAAAATTATTTTTGTTATTATTGCTCTGCATTTTCACGGGAAGAACCGTCCTCCCCTTACAGTCTATTTCTTGCATCAAGGAGCCCTCCATTATGGCAGCAGCCATGAAAGCCAGGCCAAGGTTTAAAAGAAAGGATACTGTCGCTTGTCAAGTCTTCAGATGCTGGATTCTGCTTCTAGCCAGCAGCCTAATCTAAGGTGTATTGCAACTACATCCCTGCCACCATTGTATAAATTGTTGTTTAGGCATTAAGTCGTGTCCGGCTCTTCATGACCCCCACGGACCAGAGCACGACAGGCCCTCCTGTCTTTTACTGCCTCCCGGAGTTGGATCACATTCACGTTGGTCACTTCGATGACCCTGTCCGTCCATCTCGTCCTCTGTCGTCCCCTTCTCCTCTCGCCCTCACTCTTTCCTAACATCAGGATCTTTTCCAGGGAGTCTCCTCTTCTCATGAGATGGCCAAAGTACTGGAGTCTCAGCTTCAGGATCTGTCCTTCCAGTGAACACCCAGGGTTGGTTTCCTTCAGAACGGATAGGTTTGTTCTCCTTGCAGTCCAGGGGACTCTCAAGGGTCTCCTCCATTGTATAAATACATGGCCATTAAAAAAATTAAGGAATGGTTCTATAACTGCTTGATTCAGATAGAGGGACCACAGCTCTAACTAGGTTGAGGACGGTTGCTGCATCTGCTAGACCCTAAAACAAGATGGCCGAGGCTGTGTGATGCTTCCGGTCAACTGGCTGAAGAGGAAACAGACCAGGAGGAGAAGGGTAGAAAGTTCAGGGAGGTGAGGGGGAGCAATGGAAGGCAGTAGCATCAGAAAGGAACTATTAGAGAAGCCGCCCTTCTCTGGACTGTGTTTAGGGGGAAAAAATCTCTACAGGTGCGCAGACCTTCCATCACCTTCTTTGACTTCCACGACAGTCTTTTTCCACAGAGATCAACAGAGCCTCATGATCTTCATTATTGTGAGAGAAGGAAGAAAATAGAATCATTTTCCATTTGGAGAACGCGTCCGTCGCTCTTGTGTGCAATCTGAAGGCAGGTCCAGTTTAAGAACCACTCCCGCATTCCCACCTTGTATGCCTAAGAGGGGGGAAAGAACTATACCACTTCATGCTGTCCGCCCCCCCCCCCGGACCTTGTATGCCTTAGGATCAAAAAAGCAGAGAGAACGTGCCTTTTTGTTTGTTTTAATCAGCTGGATAACTTCGTAGTAAACCTTCCTCCACAGCAGTTCCTCTGCTTTTCTCCCATAATCCACTGGATGCAAGAACATCAGCTTTACACACAATTCACGTAACCTGAAGCAGGAAAAAAAAAGATTTGGGTAGTGAGGAAAAGAGACACTCATTCGTTTTCAATCTGACCCGTGTGACCCCTTCATCTAGGACAGTGATGGAGAACCTACGCAACTCATGCCACAGCTGGCACGTGAAGCCCTTTCGCCCCTTCATCTAGGACAGTGATGGTGAACCTACGCAACGCATGCCACAGCTGGCACATGAAGCTCTTTCTTCTGGCACACAACAAACCTTTTGAAGTGGCTGCAGCTGGGATTCCCCCTTTCTCTTCCTGTTCTGGGTCCTTTAACTTCCTGTCCGTCCCCATGATTCCCCCTTTAACTTCCTGTCCGTCCCCATGATTCCTCTTTTGACTTCCTGTCCGTTCCCATGATTCCCCCTGAAACTGCCACTTCCTGTTCCGGTTCTGGTCTTCCGGGCGGCATGGCAGCCACTGGTTTCTTCCCCACCGCCTCATTTTGGGCACTCGAGCCGAAAAAGGTTTGCCTCCGCTGATCTAGGATGTCAGCCCACTCATGTATGACTGTACACATGCTTCTGAATTCTCTTTTGACTTCCTGTCCGTTCCCATGATTCCCCCTGAAACTGCCACTTCCTGTTCCGGTTCTGGTCTTCCGGGCGGCATGGCAGCCACTGGTTTCTTCCCCACCGCCTCATTTTGGGCACTCGAGCCGAAAAAGGTTTGCCTCCGCTGATCTAGGATGTCAGCCCACTCATGTATGACTGTACACATGCTTCTGAATTCCCCATCTGGGGTCAAAGGCACAACTTTCTGAAAGTTTTTAACAAATAAGGACTTCAGAAGAGTGGGATGGCACAGGGGCCAAAGAATCCCAAGTCTTCAGTCAGGCTGGCAAATAAGCAATTAATCTGCCTGCCTGCAACCAGTCCCATTTTAAGACAAAAAAGGGTGCTTTCCAAAACCTAAATCTGTACAGGGGAGTTGGATCAGAATCTGTCTCTAACGTCTTCTGCACATATGAACAGAAGTCCTGCAAAAATGCTCTATTCCCTCGCCCCCTCACACACACCTCGACACCATCAGACTGGTGATAAACCACACAAACTATGGATTTGCCTGGCAGACTAAGAGAGAGAAAAAAACCAGAACATGTTAGAAGTCTTCCCAAACCACGCTTGCATTGCCTGATGAAAACTAGACCCACTGAGAGGATCCTGCACTGAATGGATGGTTGGTCCGAAAAAGGCAACCCAATCTGACATCCGAATAGATTGAACCTATTACGCTTCTGTTCTGCGTCTTCAGAACAGTGTCTGTGGGTTTCCTAAGCAGTCTCTCATTCAGACCTATTTAGCTCCAGCATCTTGTGCTTCCAAGACTGTGCCCTGGGTTGAAATATAGAATAAGACAATTGTAAAAAAAAAATTGAGATAGCTTACTTGTTTCTCAGGCTGATGTTCTCTGGTTTGAATACTTCTTGATAAGCTGCCTTATTTCCAAGAATGAGATCCAGCCTATGTACTGCTTCTACCACAGCTCTGGAGAATACACATAAGAGCAGAGAAGACAGTCATGTCAGAAGGACATGGTTTTTGACTTTGAGGAGCTAGAAGGGAATTGCGGGTTATCACAAAGTTTTTCTTTCCTTGGCTACAAATTCACACGCTGAAATTCCTTTCCTGAGAGAGGCACACATTCTCAAAAGGAATTTCCAGCTGCTTACAGCCACTGCCTTCCCCCGAACCACCTTTGATCACCAGATCAACCTTTCTTCCAGAATCAGGTTTTAAACCAGCGTTCAGGAAATTCAGGCACTTCGCTGTTTTTGTCTGAATGTTCCTGGCGATGCCGCTCCACGGAGGAAGTGAAGTCTTAGCCTGGCACATCCCCATTAGAACTGCCACTTCCTTGCTGCAATTCATAGCACGTGGCAGATGGAAGCATTTGTGACTGAGAGGCACAGCAACCCACGAATACTTGTACCACAAGCGTTTGTTGCTTATGGTATTTCCAAACTATTGGTTTTGCTGTGAGAGACTAAGGCAGACGTGCTTTTAGATTTGTATTTGCAATATAAGATACCCCTGGTCATATCCTCTCCAAATAACATAATGCAAGGGGTTAAATTCTGAGTAGTCGGATTTTTTAGAGAGCTGATCCCTCCTTTCCTAACAGAGAACATAGCAGCTTTCCCATGCTTCCAGATAAAAACACCAGATAAAAACACCAGAAGTCTGGTGTCATATACACAAGATTTGTGGAGGGGGGGGGAAAGGACACATTCCTACCAGCTACAAGTTCCTCATGTTCTTGAAGCAGTTACCGTTGCTCACCTTTCTTTCATCTACACAAAGATTTACGAGAATGATACAGTTCTGTGGCTGTACTGAGGAATACATCTCCATTACCGTTTAAAAACATACAGCATCTTCTGACGGCGAGATACTCTTTCAAGAACACAGAAAATTTTAGCGCAGCATCTTTTGAGGGGCATTACGTTCGGGAAAGCAGCTGCGGGCCAAACCTGAGTTTGGGGGTGGCACGAGAGGGAGAAGAGAAGGCTACATGGATGCTAGATTTCCACTGGCTGAAAACTCTAAAGGCTTGTGTGTCTGTCAGCCTGCAATGTATCGCTGACAGCGAGGAGGACCTGGAAGGAACAACAGTGGGCAGTCATGTGACACAGGAAAACAAACTAAATTTGCACTGAATTTACAGATGCAATTAGAAGCTGCCCTCGCTCGCTGTTCATTCAACACCTGCCACCTTACAAGCATGCCCTTTTCTCCGTTAAAATAGCCGGTTAACGTAGCTAAGAAGAGAAACGGGCATGAACCGCTAGTTCATTTTTCATCCGGACAGGTGCTCAGCCCTTCTGAGTCCTGCCAACTCCAGCGGGCACCCATTTAGAGGCAGGGCTCCGGATTCCCTGCCCGGCTTCATCTGTTTGGCTCAAAACCAGACTGGCATAAACCACCAAACCAGTGGGTTATGCCCATCTCTTCTTAAAAAGGACCAGTCTTCCAGCAATCCGTTATTTCCAAACACTTGAAGGCACTGACTAGTATGGGGTGCTAAGACACTGGCATATTTTGATGGCTGCCAGGTCTGCTCACTGGCAAGAAGTGTCAGAGGCCAGAGTCTATTAAAAGACCCCAAAGAAGCAATGCTTGCCAAGTTCCAGGCACACAATCTCACAACGCATATTTTAAAAAGTGAGAAACACGGCAGAAGAACCATTTCCACCTCATGCTTGAGGCTATGCTGTAAGGTGCATTTGCTTTGATTAGTGGTTCAACTACAGACTCGACAAAGCGACGCTGACTAAAATTTTCCTACCACTTCAGTATTGCTCCCTCTCTCTCTCTCTCTCTCTCTCACACACACACACACACAAACAACCGGTGTTGAAAAATGTCTCTGCTTAACTGATAAGTTGAGAAGGAAGTGCCTCTTTTCAGGAAAGAGAGAAGGTAAGATGCAAAAAGAGGAACTGGAGGGAGGGTAGAAATCTTTACTCCTATGTGGTGGTCTACGAAACTTGCAGGAAGGTCATTCACATTCAGAAGAAAGCATATCTACCTTAGCCTTCATGCCAACAACACGGATTCAAATCCTTTCTCTGTCAGGGATACAATGTGTGCCCAGCACAAGTCTCTCGGCTCTACAACAACCTACCACTCAAAATGGGTAATCAATACTTTGTCTCTTCTATGAATTCCTGAAAAATTTTGGTGGTTGCTGTCGACAGATCTGGCAGGCAAAAGCTTTTGTCTCGTGCCTTACTTGCAAGGCAATTTTTGACTTTAGACTGTGGGGTGTCGCCTTTCTGCCTTTTCCCAAACTCAGGCAGGTAGAATAATTAAGCACGGGAAATATTCTTCAGGGTCACATGTCAATTCGGGTAGGTGGGTGCCTATGAACCTGGAGAATGTGGGCTGCCTCCCCTTTTTAGAAGAGGAGACAGAAAGACTTAAAACGATGAGAATGGAGGTTTTAAAAGGTTAACATTGAATCTTACAAAAAAAAAAAGGTGTTGAGAACCAGTTGCTCTCCGAGAGTTGCTTAATGAACACTCCTATCATATCTCACTACTGCTCCAATTGGTAGGAACTAGGGTTCATTGGAAGGACAGATCCTGAAGCTGAGGCTCCAATCCTTTGGCCATCGCATGAGAAGAGAAGACTCCCTGGAAAAGACCCTGATGTTGGGAAAGCGTGAAGGCAAGAGGAGAAGGAGACGACAGAGGACGAGATGGTTGGACAGGGTCACCAAAGCAATGAATTTGACCCAACTCCGGGAGGCCGTGGAAGACAGGAGGGCCTGGCGTGCTCTGGTCCATGGGGTCATGAAGGGTCGGACACGACTTAACGACTAAACAACAACAAGGGCTCAATATCTGGAGGGCCCTAAGTTCTCTCTCCTGCTGAAAACTCAATGTTTGACCCATACTCACTGCACACCTCGGTGGAGAAAAGATAACCTATGAGTTGAATTTTAGAAGAGGTTTCAGATGGGTGCCTTATTTATGAGCTCTAGAAACATGTGGAAACCACTCTGGGATTCAAATGATTTCTGTTTATGCAGACACAGAGACAGATAGTGAGAGGTTTATCAATAACGCTGCAGAAGGGATAATGATGCAAAGAAAGTCGTTTGAGGGAGTTACCTCACTGAAGGTGGGGCTACACAGGAAATGGAAGGGAAACGTAGGCAACTAGGGAGGAAATACTGGGCCCTCCTCCATGCAAAGTGGCTGGCCATTTTTAATTCATTTGCTTAAGTGAATTTCCATCTCATTTTTAAAAAGCCTTCCGGAGGAGAGCTTAGAAAACATCTTAAAGAGCCTCCAGAAACACCACATGATCTGGCAAAATAAAAGAGAGATATTGAGATGCAGCAAGAAAGAGGTATGGCAACACGGTGGGTAAAGCTACGAAAAGCCTCTCCCCCTCCCTCCCGAGGTGCAAAAGGCAAACTGGTTTAACCTACGTGAGTACAGGATGCATGTAGATGTGGTATAATGGGCTGTTGGGAGAAGAGACCAAGAAAATCAGATTTATGGCGTGTCACCTATTCAGAACATGTCTCGAGGAAAAGCATCACCCTCATAGGGCCTTTCCCTTCCTGCAGCCTTCAAGATCGAACCTGGGAATCCTCTGCAAGGAGGACAGTGAAGAGAACGAGGACCCTGTCGTGTGTGCGTGCGGCGCCAACAACTCCCTTGCAAGGAAGTCGAGGAGCGGGCAGAGAAACAGATGGATCAGAAGCACAGAAACCGCCAGTCCGACTTCTCCACCCCACCCCGGGGGGGGGGGTTCCACCGCTGTAAAGAGAGAATGAGGACACGCAACACCGCGTTGGCCTGCTTGTAACTCCCCTGTAGATTTGCTGAATGATAACTCCCAACGCTTTTCACCTCTAGCTGCGCCGGCTGCTGGGAGTTGCGGTCTCTAGAGAGCTCTCTAACAGGCTGCCTTTTGCCTGGGTATAGAAGAGAGGCCATATGGGGTACCAAATTAAGGAGGAGAACCAGGGTGGAAGGGGAGGAACCCGAGGATGATGCCGGTTGCCCCCTCCTTTTTTTTTTCATCCTAAACATCCCTGACAAGATGGCCATCCCCATGATCATGATGGGGAGGAGGAGAGCAAAAAAAGAAAAAGAAATCCTGGAGTAACCTGCGAGCCACCTTAATGGACTTGGGGATGAAATCCACTTCCTCGGGCTCTAAAAGAGCCTGAGGAAGGCGAATCCATCCAAGAAAGCTTGTTCCAAAGTTTTATGTTTTCCAAGGGGGGGGGGGAAATCCAACGAAAAAAGGTTACCAATCATCTCGACTCTTGCATTTTTTCCCCTGCCCCTCTTCGTGGGCTGGTGGGCGGTGGGCAAGGGATCCGAAGGAGATTCCCGGGAAAGAGATCCCATATAAAACATCAAAGCCCAACAAGGTCCTTGCATTCAGAGGAAAGGGGGGCAAAAAAAGGGTGGTCTCTCTCCCCCCCACACACACACACCCAGGGAAGTAGCTGAGAGTCTCATTCTGGGTGGGGAAAGCAGCCACGTTCAAAAGATGGGGTGAGGGCAGGGTGGGGGCAGGGCAGGGCAACCCCTCCCCAACAGTGTGAAGGACACTGATAATAATTATAGCTTTAGGAATATACATTTATTCAGGAGATTTGTTGAATGAGAAAATATTTAGAGTTCAAACATCAAAAGAAATGAAAAATCTTTTTTTTATGAATTTTAAATGTTACTCCCTAAGTGAATACTATAAATGCTAGCAGCATTATTAAGCAAAGGAGTATATATCAAGTTCGTTCTTACAATGTACTTTTAGTTTAAAGGAATATAGTCCCTTTGAAACATTTTTGAAGAAAAGATGGATTACCCTCTTTTAGTTTGTATACTGGATGATGTTTGCTAAATCAGAAATCTACAGAGGCAGTGCAAAATGAAAAAAAAGGCAAAGATCCTTGTCGTTCATCCTTTAAGAACCTTATTCCCATTAGAGAAAAGACAGAATATGCAGTAACAACCATCATCATAATTGAACTGCACAACTGGAAGGGACCCTATGGATCATCTAGTCTAGCCACCTGTCAAAGATATACAAATGGGGAATCAGTCTCCTAACCTATGGCTCTGCAGCCAGATACCTAAGCCACTGAACTATCCAGCAGTTCATTTCAGCTGAGCATACACCTGAGTGCAAGCAGAAGAATTTAGAATAAAAAACCGGAGCCAGCGGGCGCCGCCGCGGCATCGACTGCGCGCGCGCGCCCCTCTACACCCCACCACCACTTCCGCTGCCCGATCCCGGGAGAGTACGCGCCGCTCTCGCGAGACCTAAAAATATGTATAAAGGCCCATAGAGATAAATAAATGAAAGACAAGTACCTCCGGACTAGGCGGACTTGCCCTTTGGAGTTTGATTTCAATTTTTTTTTTATTCTGATAACCCCCCCCTCCCCGACCCATGGTTCTCAGCAGCCAATCAGAGGAACATACATATACACCAATCAATCAATCGATCAATCAGACACCAGCAATAACAATAATAATTCTAAATAATCAATCGTACAAAATAAGTTTATATATACACATACATTCATTCATACATACATGCATGCATGTATGTATGCATGTGTGTACTGTATATGTATGAATGTGTGTGTATGTATATATATGCATGTATGCATGTATGTATGTATGTATGTGTGTGTGTGTATATACAGTATATATACAGTATAAACAGTATACAGTATATATATACACATACACATATACACACACACAAACACACACACATACATGCATACATGCGTATATATACATACATGCATATATATATACATATATACATATATGCATACATATATATGTATGTATACATGTATATATGTGTGTGTACAGTATACAGTATACATATGTATATGTATATATGTACAGTATGTACAGTATGTATGTATGTATGTATGTATGTATGTATGTATTTTATTTATTTATTTATTTATTTATTTATTTATTTATTTATTTATTTATTTAAAGAGGCGAGAGGCGATGGTTTGGCCTGAAAACTTTCTCCACCTTCCCCCCCCCCAAAA